GCCCCCCTGTCCACCGGGGCTGCTGCGCCCACTCCCTGGGTGGCTCTGCAGCTCTGCTCTGACCATCACACATGACGTGGCGTATGCCTGGTAGTGGTGGCACCAGCCAAGGCCCCTTGTCTCCCTGTCGGCCCTCCCACTCTGGACTGAAGCTCCCAGACAGCAGGGAGGCTGGCGTCTGACTCAGGCCCGGCACCCGGGATGGAGCAGCCGGGCACCGGGCACCTGGGACGGAGCAGCGGGCACCTGGGACGGAGGTGCTCGGGCAGGAGGGCCACGCACAGCCCAGGAAGCCCGCGGCAGGGAGAGAGGCTCTCTAAGCTCCGTGCCTCAGACGGCGAGGTGTGAGCCTCACTGTTGTTTTTTAATCCTCACCCCAGGATATTTTTCCATTGATTTTTAGGGAGAGTGGAAGAGAAAGGGAAAGACAGAGAGAAACATGGATTGGTTGCCTCCTGCAGGGCCTTGGGCAGGGGTGGAGCCTGCAACAGAGGCGCATGCCCTTGACCGGAATGGAACCAGGGGGCCTTTCCATTCGCAGGCCGTGGCTCTATCCAGCGAACCACACCGGCCAGGGCAGCCACACTTTTCTAAAGGAGCAGGCCAGCGCCGAGGGGGCAGGAGGGCTTGGAGCCAGCCTCAGGCCCCCAACCAGCACCGCCAGGGCCTCCTGCCCCCTCCCCAGAGCGCTGGCCCCTCCTAGCTCTGCCTGTGCCGGCGGCCAAGGTCTCTCCCGCCCCCTTGCTCTGCCTCGGCCGCAAAGAGCAAGCACCCCCTGGGGCCTCGGGGCGCCCCCCTCACAGCCCCGGGGGCGCACAGACTGCCCCTCCGCACCTGGACCGTCACCCGCCCTCCGCTCGGACCCCTGGGAGTCTCTCCCTCTCCCCGCGGGTCCCACGTCCGCCGGGAGTTACTCATTGGCCGAGCGGCGGGCACACCGCCCGGCGGCCCGTGTGGCCTGGGGTGCGAGGACGCTGCACAGACGGCACCTGCGGGGCTGAAGCGCCCAGAGGGTCCCCGTGCGGCGCGGGCCGGCGGCTCCCAGCGCGCATCTGCCGGCGGCACCGAGCAGCCTGCAGCGGGGAGCCTGGCCCCCATCGGCTCCTCCCCGACCCCCTCCTCCCGGGCGGCGGGCAGGACCCCACCGCGGTCCCGAGGCGGGGAGGGGGCGGCGGGCTCCGCGGGGCGCGAGGAGGGGGCCGCAGGCGCAGCTCCACCTCCTCCGTCTCCCAATCGCGTTCCGGGCGGAGCCGCCGGAGTTTCCCTTCGCGCGGGGCAGCGCGTCCCAACTTCCAGGACGGAAGCCGCCCGCCACGCCCCGACCGCCCCGGCCCGGCCCCCGGGACCGAGCCCCAGCCCTTCCCGCCGCCCCGGCCCCGGCCCGGCCCGGCCCGCACTCACCGCCGCGGGGCCAGCGCGCGAGGCGGCTCCGGGCTCCGGGCTCCGGGCTCGGGATCTGCGCGCACCTCGCCGCCCGCGCCCCCCCGCGCCCCGGGGGTGGGCCTGGCGGCGCCGCACGGTTACCCGGAGACCGAGGGGCGGAAAGCTGCGCCCGCCGCCCGCCCGCCCCGCCCGCGCGGCGCTGCCACCGCGGGAACAAAAGAGACAAAGCCGCGCGCTCGCCCGGCCGCTCCGTCCCCCGCGCCCGCCGGCCGCCCTCCCCCCGCGCCCGCCAGGCCGGAAGCCGCCGGAGCCGCGCGCCCCGAGCTGCCCGGGACCCCGCGTTCTAGCCCCGCAGGCTCCGACCTGCTGAGGGCGGGGACCCCCTTGGCGGGCAGCCTGCGCCCCGGAGGCAGCCACGGCCACCGGATCGCGGCTTCGCGGGCGGTGGGTCCCCGCGCGGGCGGCCCCGCCCCGCCCCGCCGGCCTCACCTGCGCGCCGCGAGGGACGGAGTTGGGGACCCCGGGATGGAAGGGCCGGGACCCGCGCCCTCAGCTGCTCGCGGCCACCTCCGCCCGCGGTGCCCAGCGCCCGTCCCCTCCGGTCCAAGTTTGTTTACCTGGACTCCCGGGGCCCCACCTCGCCCGCCCGCCCAGCCCGGCGCCCAGGACGCCCGGACGGGCACCCGCTTCCGGCCCCCACCTGCGGCCGCGCGGGCCGAGCGCGGGCTTCGGGGCAGGGTTTGCGCCATCACTAAGCCGAGTAACCTGACCCGCCACCCCCACCCCCGCACCCACCCCATCTCACACTCACTCTCACTCTCACTCTCACACTCACGTGCACGCCCGTGCGCTCCCGCCCGCGGAGGTGATGCCGCCCCCCGCCCGCCGCTGGCGGAGGCCGGGCGGCTGCGGGAGTGCGCAAGCGACGGCGCTTCCCCCTCCTCCCGGCCCGGACCGCCCGGCCGAGAAGCCCTGGGCAAGTCTCAACTCCCCGGCGGCGAATACCTGGGCTCCCGAGGGGGCGGGCCCGGGCAGCGGGCTCTCCTCTCGCAGGCCCATGCGTGCCCCCTGCCGGCCCTTCTCACCGCCGCCCCTGGCACACCCGCCAGGACCCCGCCAGTCCTTGGGGAAGGTGGCTCCAGGCCCCCGGGAGGCACATTTGTCACACACATCACCCTGGAAGCCCCCAGGGCTCCGCAAGTGTGTGCGTGTGTGTACGTGTGTGTGCATGTTTGTGTGTGTGTGTGTGTGCATGTGTGCGAGTGAGGGGGAGAGAGAGAGAGAGAGAGAGAGAGCCAGAGGCTCGGGTCACCCACACTGGCTACCACCCAAAGAGCTACCACCAGCAGCACCCTCTTCCCCTGCCAGCCTCCAGCAAGAGTCGGCCTTCATGCCCGCCAGGTCCGCGCAGTGGAGAGAGCGTCATCCTGCGGACCCAAGGGTCCCGGGTTCGATTCCCATCAAGGGCAGGTACCTCGGTTGCAGGCTCCTCCCTGGCCCGGGCCCTGGTCGGGGCTCCTGCAGGCGGCAACCCATCGATGTGTTTCTCTCACATCCACGTTTCTCTCGGGCTTTCCCTCTCTTTCTCTCTCTCTAAAATCAATGAAAAATATCCTCGGGTGAGGACAAAAAGAAAGAGTCTGCCTTCGCTCCAATCTACCCAACTCTGCCTCCCAAATTCCCTCCCCAGTTCCCTCACCCCCTGCCTCAGACATCAGGACCCCAGGTGCCTGCCAATCTGGCACCCCAGCTCCGCCCCCCTCATTCTCTCACCTTATGCTCCGCACCCCCCACAGCCATCCCCTGAGCCAGGTCACAGTTTTCCTACTGGGGCAGCCCTTCAGCGTCGTAACCCTCTCCTCCCTAAATCCACTGGTCAAGTGCACACCCTTCTGGACCTACCTCACCCACAGGGGGACCTGGGACTTGCAAACCCCACTGTAGCCTCATCTGTCCACAGATACGGCCCCTCCTGCCCCATAGGAGTTGGAACAGCCCACGTGCAGAGGTCATCTCATCCCATACCATCCTGCGGACCATTACAAGGGAAACCCTGCTGCCCAGCCAGTGTGGCTCAGTGGATAGAGCGTTGGCCTGTGGACGGAAGGGTCCCGGGTTCATTCCGGTCAAAGGCACATGCCCCGGTTATGGGCTTGAACCCCAGTGGGGGGCAAGGGTGTGCAAGAGGCAGCCGATCAATGGTTCTCTCTCATCATTGTATCTATCTCTCTTTCTCTCTCTTCTGAAATCAGTAAAAATAAAAACAACAAAAACAAAGAAAACCTTGCCAGGGATGAAACGACCAAATGACCAAGGGACCAGTTGCTCAGCGGTTCATAGCACCGGGTCAGGGTGTGTGTGTGTGTGTGTGTGTGAGTCACTTGGACTGAGCACAGCCTGAAAGAGGGAGGGCACCTCCTGGGAAACTGGCTTCAGGGGCCTCTGCTCAGCACGCCCCCAGGGGCACATGCCCACAGGCCCGGGCACCACCTCGGGGTGCTCCGAAAGGAGTCCTCCGACGCCCAACGGGAGTGCAAGCGCCTCCCCACTCCCCTTGCTTACTCAGGACACACAAGGCCACCCACGCCATTTAGCCCGGGAGGTCAAAGGTTGCCCTTCCCCCTGGAAAAAGCAGGTCAGAGGTCCTCGGGGTAGTCAGCCTGCATGCCTCCCAGGCACCGCCCACCTCTGGGAGGCCCTCCCCACCACCGCCTCCCTTTCCGGCTGCCGGCAAGCTGACCTCTGCTCAGGCCTGTAAGGGCCACCCCTGGGCTGTGTAGGGGGACACTCAGCCCAGTAGCACCTAAAGCACTGCCCCAGGGACCCAGACTGGCCACTAGTCCCGCCATTATGTCTCCAGAGTATTTATCACCCTCCCCCAGCTCTCCTCTGAGTATCTGGCCAGCATTAGAACCAGCGGGTTCCCCCCACCATGGCAGAGGAAGTGATCCAGAGAGGGGCAGTAACCATGGTTACCAACGGTGGGCAGCAGATGAGGCTCCACTCACTGAACGCCCAGGCTACCTGATACGGGACAGCTGGGCAGGCAGAGGGCAGGCCAGGAAACCCAAAATGAAGGCCCAGACCTCAAGGGTAAACCCATCAGAACATCCCGAACCAAGGAGACCATGAGACAAGAGGAGCTGAAGGGGGAGAGTAATTCCAGACCAGCCCTCAAGTCTTTTGTTGTTTTATTTTTTAAATAGTTTTAATTTTTTAAAATGTTTTTTAAATTGTTGATATTACAGATATCTCCCACCCCCCTCCCTTAACCACCGTCCTCAACCCCCCAGGTCTTCACTACCCTAGTGCCTGTGTCCGTGGGCTATGCACATCCTGTATAATAAAAGGGTAATATGCAAATTGATCGAATGGTGGAACGACCAGTTGCTATGATGTGCACTGACCACCAGGGGGCAGACGCTCAATGCAGGAGCGGATGTCCCCTGGTGGTCAGTGCACTCCCACAGGGGGAGCGCTGTGAGAGGGCACAGGCCGGGCTGAGGGACCACCCCCTCCACAGTGCACGAATGTTGTGCACCAGGCCTCTAATAAGTATATAAGTTCTTTGCAAACCCTCGAGTCTTGAATCTCAACTTTCAAAAAGTAAAACTCAGTTGATATAAATTACTTTAAATAACATAAACGCAAAGACATGTTAATGAGATGTTAGCACAAAGTTTTCATAATTAATATAGATGAGCACTGCCCAAGAAGGAAATGTGTCCGTCTGCCAGGCACCACACAGATGGTACCCGGCTCAGGCTGAGGTGGCGTGTGTCCCCCAAGATTCACTTCCCCACCAGGACCCTCTACTGCATCCACACCAGCCAGCCGAGGCCCTCGGAGCCGGTCCGGGCTAGCTGGCCCTGAACAGCATGTAGAGCATTGGCATGGTGGCCACGATCGTCAGGCAGGTGACCAGCGTGCTGTAGATGGTGTTCCTGTTGACCTGGGCTTCCAGCCGCTGCTCCATGTCCGGCAGCACCAAGACCAGGCCCCCCGGCTCCAGTGCAGAGCCAGGCAGAGCCGGGTCGGCGGCCTTCGCAAGCTGCACCACCCCGGCCACTTGGCCAAAAGTCTTCTCCAGGCGGTCGAGCTGCTCTCGCAAACCCTCCAGACAGGAATGGACCTGCCGGGAGTGGCTGAGCTGCTCTCTCAGGGCAGCTGAGAGGACGTCTGCGTCACTGTCCCGGGCGGGGGTCCCTGCCTGGGCCCCAGAGCTCGGCCCCGGCTCAGCCTGGACCAGGCCCCTCAGGTCCGCTATGAGGTCGTGCAGGTCCCGGTGCTGGAGGGAGTAGCTGGACGCCTGTTCCCGAATGGCCTCCTGGAGGCTCACGGGCCCCTTCTGGGCCTCCAGCAGCAAGGCCTTCAGCTCCTGCAGCCGCACGCGGTTCACGTAGGTGGAGCCGGCCACGCCGATCAGGGCCCCCAGGACCGACCCGATGAGGGACCAGTTCTTGGTCCTCTCGGCCCGCGTGCGCTCCTTCTCGTGGCTTTCCCGCACGGCCGCCGAGAAGAGGGAGAACTTCTCTCGCTCGGAGTCTTCGGCCCGCAGGTAGGCTGTGCGCAGCCTCTTCTCCTCCTGCGGAAGCGCAGCTGGTTACACAGCGGCGACGTGCAACCGGGCCCCCCTCCACAGCTGCCAGCAGGTTCCCGCGGTCACCCCGAGGCTCAGCCTGTGCCCGGCACAGATGACATGCCAACGAATGCCGGCAGCGTGAGCCTGGTGTGGGGGAGCAAAGGAGTCGGGGTGGCCGAGCGGCCACACTATCCTCCGACCCGAGCCATCTTGGCGTTTGCCATATGAGGAATGTGCCTACCAGAGGGGAGTGTCTGGAACCCTCTGGTGCCCCTCCTTGGCAATCTGGGGCCAGAGCACGTGCCCGGCACGTTCACCCAGTGCTCTGGGAGGACATGGGCGATGGGCTGAGCAAGCCTGGGGCCCTGTCCCTCCAAGGAGCTTCTGGTTTACTCCTGCCCAGGCCTGACCATCAGACCAGCCAGGACTCCCACCTGGCCCCTCCCTGGCCTGCCCGCTGGGCCCTGCCCAGGTGAGGAGGGCTCCCCGGGGCCTACCTGCAGCATGCGGTGCTCCAGGGTGGCCAGCTCCAGGTACTGGCTGTCCTCCTTGGAGATGCGGTCCAGGCGGTCCCTCACCTCCTTCAGCTTGGCCTGCTGCACCTCCACCTGCTCCTGAGCCTCGCGGACAAGGCCTCGAGCCACCATGAACACCTTCTCGGCCTGCGGGGAGAACAGGAAGCTGCCGGCCCCTTCTCTCCGCACCCACACGCCCGGCTCATTCCCAACCATATGGGCTGGGGGGGCGGGGTGTGGGAAGGGCAGGAAGACTCAGAAACAGAATCCTGGCTCAGCCAGGCACCCCCAAAGGGCAGGCCTGTGCCCCCGTCAGAACCAGCGGGTTTACCCACTCACGTGGGAACACGCGCCCGAGGACCTGGGAAACAGCCGAGAATGCGCACGACCTGCGGTGCCAAGCCAGCGACTGCAGTCGGACAAACCCCGGAAGGAAACTGTTCTGAGCACGTCGCGGCGATGGGAGAATTCTCGCTTCCTATCACAGTGTTTTACGAAGTATCGTACTCTCAAAAGGTATCAGCTTGTGAGAACGTTTAATAAATGACTTCAAAATGCAACGGGTGTTTAACTTTAACGCCTGCCTTTAACATTTATGTAAAACGCTTTTTGTACTCGTTCAATAGAAACTTTCCTGGCCACTGGGTAACGCTAGCAATGAAACTACTGGTCCGCAACGTTAAGACATTCTGTGCGTCACCGTATTGACACCTCACAACAGCGCCAAGAGAGGCACTGCTCAGCCAGGGTCATGGCCTCCAAGGGGAGGGACAGCACTGGGCCTCAGAACCTCCTGCGGGCCCAGGCCAGTGTGGCTCAGTGGATAGAGCGTCTGCCTGCAGACCAAAGGGTCCTGGGTTCGATTCCAGTCAAGGGCACGTACCTCGTTGCAGGCTTCTCCCCGGCCTGGGCCCTGGTCGGGGCTCGTGCAGGAGGCAACCAGTCGATACGTGTCTCTCACATGGATGTTTTTGTCTTTCCCTCTCTCTTCCACTCTCCCTAAAAATCAATGAAAAATATCCTCTGGTGAGGATTAAAAAAAAAACCAAAAAACAAAAAACCCTCCAGCGGAAGCCCACGTAACCCCCTTGCGGCGCTGGTCTGCAGGGAAAGGGGCAGGGGCAGGGGCAGAATGCGTTTCCGCCGCCACAAAGGACTTGACAATCACGGGCAGCGCTTCCCCCCTCATGGTACGAAGTTCCCCACGGCCTCCGCCTCCAGAGGGAGGTTCCATTCCACGAGGTGAGAGCGGGGACGGGGCGCAGTCACCCTGCAGGCAACTCGCATCACCCCACGCAGCCCAGGAGGGAAGTACCGCTGCCTGCCCGACGACCTCGTGGCCAGGCCACTGGTCAGCAGCTTGTCTCCAGGAGCAGCGCAGCCAGCCACCCGGAGGGCGCTCCAATCTCCCCATCCACCCCCCGCGAGCGGAATTCGTTCAGGAAAAGGCCAGCCTGGATGTGGCTGGCGACCTGTCCGGCAGGAGCCACCGGCCGCTTCCCGGGTCAGAGGACGCCCTCCCCCCGGCCTCCTCACCTCCGCCACGTTCCCCTGGGCCTCTCGGACCTCGTTGAGCCCCACAAACTCCTCGTATCTCTCCCACCAGGCGGTGGCCTTGGCAGCGGCGCGCTGCTGAAGGCGGTGCCCCAGGGCCCGGCCCTGCACCGCCAGGCGCTGGGGCAGCCGCAGGGCCTCCTCCTCAGGCCTGTCCTCTCGGGGCTGCCGGGCGCCCGGGCTGCACAGCGTCCTGGTCACCAGGAAGTCCCTTCCCAGGAGGCCTCTCCGCACCAGCGCGGGGGGCACGCCCACGGCGTACTGCATGGCAGGCACGGTGCTGCACCCCGACATCGGGAGATCTGCGGGGGGACACAGACGGGTCAACTCCCGCTGAGAAAGGCTGGCCACTCAGGTGGCGAGGCCTCGGGTCAGCTCTGAACCGACCCGCTGCCATTAAAGGGTCCGAACCGAGCGCCACTCTGCGGGGCCTGGAGGCGGCGGCCCCAGGGAAGCACACGTAGGGAACCAGCCCCCCACCCCCTCCACACCAGCCCCCGCTGCACCCACCGCCCAGGGCTCTGCTACGACTCAGATTAGAACTCTGGGCCCAGGTTTCTGACGTCGAAGAAAATGGCCAAATCTGAGTTGTGTCCACGCTGACAAAGCCCCACAAACGCCCTAAGAAACTGAGACCTGAGGGGCTTCGGGCAGGTTCCCGTAGCGACCATCAACCTCCCAGACGCCCCGGAGGTGCTCACAGCGAGGACCCAGCCTGTCCCAGCAGCGGGTGGACAGACGGACGGACGGACGGGCCGAGGTTCCCAGCAGCCTGTCCGCCCGCCCTCCACGCCCACACGCGCCACGGCGCAGGCTCCCTTTCACTCGTCCCATGAGCTGCTCCCCCCTCTCCAGCCGCAGCCACGGCCACAGCTCAGCTCCTGGGGTCCCTGCCTTTCCAGCCTCACTCTGATGTGTGGGGCCCCACCTACTTCTTCCACCTGAGGGAACAGCACGGGCTGGGCGTCTCCACTATCCAGTCAGGCCTGGCCAGCCCCAGAGCAGCTGTGACAGAGGAACCCCCCTGCCCAGGAGAGGGCAGCCCTGGCCAAACCCCTCCTCCACCCCCAAGTCCGGACTCAGAGCGACACCTGGTGGCCAACGGCAGAGGACGCTGGACAGGGAGACACCGGAGGCGCTGCAGGTGCGAGAGGGGCTTCCTGATGCGGGTGACCTGGGCACAGGGGGCTGAGCCGCAGCCCCCACCGCACGCCCAGCCTGGAGAAGCTCGAGCCCGAGCCACGCTGCAGGGTGGGGACTCAGCCCCTGGACAGCGTGGCCGGGCCGAGAGCGCGAAGGGGGCCTCCCCGGGGCAGTGGTTCCGAGCTGGTGCTGCCCTGAACCCGTGTCCCAGCCCTCAGGCCCACGGGAGCACATGCCATCCACGCCCCAGGGGTCTGGCAGGCCACCCAGACCTCACGCAGTGTCCACCGCACACCGGCTGTGACCCCGCAGCCACCCTGCGGGCGAGCCCCTCCTCAGGCAGCCTGCAGCCCTGCCCAGCCCAGCCCGGCCCAGCCCAGCCCAGCCCGGCCCAGCCCAGCCCAGCGCGGGGCGCTCTCCTAAGCGGCGCTCAGCAGACGGCGTCCGGGGCTGTCGCTCCCTCCTCACCCCCTTCTCTCCCGAAGGCTCCACCGGCCAGGCCCAGCCGCAGCGCCTCAGACTTCTTCCCCCACATCTGCAGCTTCCAGCACCCTCTTCCGGAAACCACGCCCCCTCTCCGCTCCCTCCGGCCTCCCTCGCCTTCTCTCGGGGCTCTTCCTCCACCAGCAGGAAGCAGCCCGGCCCCGGCCCCAGGAGGACACCCGTCCCTGGCAGAGATGGCAGCTACAGCCTCCTCCGAAGCCTGGCTTCCTGTCCTGCCCGCACAGCTGCTCTGCACAGGGCGGCCAGAGGCTAAGTCCTACGCCAGGTCCGTCCCTCAGTTCCCGACTCCCCGGCATGAGCCCCAGCCCTGCGTGGCCGTGGCCAGCACGCCCTCGTCCTCTTCCTCCTCTCCGTCCCGCCCTCCACTCAGCCAGCCCACCAGCTAAGCACAGCCGCCTGTGCCTGCCATTCCTCCACCAGGCCCGTCGGCTCACCCTGATTTCCGTGTCTTTGCTCAGGGATCACCTGTTGGCAAGGCCTTCCTCTAACCTCCCTCTGCCCACCTTGCCCGCTTCATTTCTCCATCAGACACACGTGGCCCTGTAAGTGCTACCTAAGCCCTCCCTCGAGAGGAGCTTGGTGACATCGGACTGCTCTTCCCTCCAGGCTTGCCTTTCCCACCGCCTTCTCCGTCTCCATCGATGGAAACCCCTTCGTCCAATTAGGCCAACAACCTCTCATCCTCCGGACTCGGCTTCCTCTCCCACCTCACGCCCAGCCCATCAGCCCTCGCCGCTTCCTTCCCAAATCCAGCGTCCCTCTTCCTCTTGCCCCAGCCCTGCCCCCACTCGTCCCAATGGCCCGGGCCATCCCGGGGGCCTCTGGACAGGCCTCCCTGCTTCTGCTCTGGCCCCTACAGTCTCCTGCCGACAGAGCTGTGGTCCTTTCAGAACATGTCTCTTCTGCTCAAACCCTGCGACGGCTCCCCATTTCTCTCAGGCCAGAAGCCAACCCTCCCCATGGCCTGCAGGGCACACCTCCTGCTCTTGGGCTTCCTGGCCTCATCTCCCTCTAGTCTCTCCTCACTCTGCTGCGATCACAAGGACCGCCCCCCCCCCCCAGCTTTATTGAGATACTAGATTCAGCGTGGGCAAACTACGGCCGGCGGGCCGGATCCGGCCTGTTCGGCTGTTCTAAGAGCGGAGGGTTCTCTTGCTCTCCCCTCCGCTCCTTCACCAGCAGCAGCCTTAACATGGCAACATCGGAAACACCGCCGCAGCTCCTTCTTCTGAGTCCAGTTTAAGAACCCATTGTGGCCCTCGAGTCAAAAAGTTTGCCCACCCCTGTGAGGCTTGGTGCATGAATTCGTGCACAGGTGAGGTCCAGCCGGCCTGCCCCATGGGGGTCAATGGGGGCCGCGGGGGCCAGTGGGGGGGGGGGCACAGGAGGTTGGCCAGCTGAGCCTGCCCCCAATTGGAGTGGGCGGGGCCAATCGGGGGCTGGGCCTGCCGCGAGGGGGAGTGGGGGAGGCCGCGGGAGGTTGGGGGGGCCGATGGAGCTCGAGCCAGTTGGCCTTGGCAGTGCACATCATAGCAACTGGTCATTCCAGTCACTTGGTTTTTATACATATAGATAATTGCCATGTACCGCTGTGTAAGTGGCAGGTGTGCAATGCCATGATGTGATACACACACAAACTGCTAAATGTTTGCCACAATAAGGTTCCCTAAGCGTCCTTCAACGCACACCATTGCGGTGCGTGGCCTTCTTGGTGCGGCTGGAGCACACCGGCCTCTCCCCCTGGGGCCTCCGCACCAGCTTTCAGTATCGGTGCCGCGAGCTCCCCGCCCTTCCCAAGGCCTGCTCAAGCTCGCTGCCACCCCCACCCCCCGGCATTCCTACCCACCCCGGCATTCCTACCCACCGCCTCTGCTTTACTTTTCTCCAGGGACGTGTCACCTGACCCGCGACAGGTATTTCTCGTGTTTGCTGGGCTTCCGGTCCGTCTGTCTCACCCCAGGACGTCGGCTCTGCCAGGGCAGGCGCTGTTCCGTCCACGGCTGCGTCCCCGGTGCCTAGAGCACTCTCTGCTCGTAGCACACACTCAGCACAAACACGATTTGCAAAAAGCCGCCACCCGGGCTATATGATAAACCCCGATTCCCTCGGGGGGCCTCCAGGCTCCGGGACCGGGTGGTCTACCCCCTCCGCCGCCTCCCTCGCCTCCCCAAGCCTCGCGGCGCCTCCCTCGGTCCACAAACGCGCCAAGCTCCGAGGTCTTCGCACAAGCCCTTCCCTCGACCTGCAGGGCTTCCCTTCCCGCGCACGGCCCGGGGCTGGCGCCTTCCGGTGAAGCACCCCTCCCGGCGCCGGACCGCCCCGGCCGGCGGGACCCCCAGTGCCACCCCGCGTACCTGGCCTGCCTAGAGCCGGAGCCGCAAACACAGCGGAGCGCCTGCGCCCGCCTTCAGCGGGCCGCTTCCGGCAGCGGGCACACGACTTCCTGTTTGGGAGCCAATCAGCGGGCCCGGTGGAGGCGCAGGGGCGGGGCCGGGGGCTCCGCTTCCGGTGGCAGGGTCTGGGGCCGGGGCGGCAGGCACCATGTCCGGCCGCGAAGGTGAGTGTGCGGGTTTGGCGGGGCGGGGCGGGGCGGGACGGGACCCGGCGACGCGGGGCCCGCGTGAGCGTGCGCGTGTCGCCCGCAGGTGGCAAGAAGAAGCCCCTGAAGCAGCCCAAGAAGCAGGCCAAGGAGATGGACGAGGTGAGCGCGGGGCGTGGGCGGCGCGGAGGGGTGGGAGCCCGCGGGTTGGGACCCCGCCGGTTCGGACCCGCCTGGACGGAACTCGCTCGCCCCCCCAGGAGGACAAGGCGTTCAAGCAGAGGCAGAAGGAGGAGCAGAAGAAGCTCGAGGAGCTGAAAGCGAAGGCGGCGGGGAAGGGCCCCCTGGGTAAGTGAGGGCCCGGCGGAGCCGGAGCCGGAGCCGGACGCCTGTCCCGAGCACCGGCCTGTGGGCGGGCGCAGCAGGCCCCGTCCTGCCCCCTCGGTGAGTGGCGAGGTCGCGGGTCTCGGTGCCCGCCGGGGCCAGGCGTGGCGTGGCCGCAGCAGGCAGCCCGGCCTTCCCTGATGAAACGCAGAGGCGCCGTGCAGATCGCACACGGAATGCACGCCGTTGGGTTTCCGAGTAGCCCGCAGCCTCTTGCCCCCGAGTCGTGTTCTCGGCTCGGGACTCGCTGCTCATGGTCGACGGTAGTGAGTGCTGGGCGTCCCGGTCTCTCGACGTCGGGATGAGCCTGGACTGAAATGCCAAGCACAGGCTGGCGGGCTGTTGCTCCACGTGCTTTCAGCCCGGCCCCTCCGCTCTGCCCCTTTTCAGACCACAGATGCGTCAGGCCCAGCAGCCCCATGTTTTCTGTGCCGCTGCAGTGCTGTCTGCGTTCACCCATTAGGGCTGCTTCCCCCGCGGGGTCTGTGCCCAGCTGGGTCAGTGAGCCTCCTGGGGCAGTAGAGGCTGGGAGGGCTTCTCCCTTGGGTTTCATTGTTAGCCACATCGCACTGAGAGTCCTTTTTGAATGCTGTGATGGGGTATCCTTTTTTATTTTTTAATATATGTACATTTTTACTGATTTCAGAGAGGAAGGGAGAGGGAGAAAGAGATAGAAACATCAATAATGAGAGAAAATCATGGATCGGCTGCCTCCTGCTCACCCCACACTGGGGATTGAGCCTGCAACCCGGGCCTGTGCCCTGAATGGGAATGGAGCCATGACCTCCTGGTTCATAGATGGACGCTCAACCACTGAGCCACGGGGCTGGGCACATCATGTAACTTTTTAAAAGTTTAGTTTGTCACAATAGGATCTTCATTCCTATATTGGGCATACTTAATTCTACAACTGTTCCTTAAATTACCTGTTTGCCACAGCTGTAGTCATTTGTAAATAGGGAAAAATAAGATACTGGATCACAATGTAGAAGGTAGTGTGGTATGATGTGAGTTAGGCATATAGATTTGGAAGTCAGACTACCTGGCTGGCATCCTGGCTTCATCACATCCCAGTTTGTAACGTTGAGTAACACCTGACACTAAGACTTCAGTGTCTGTACAGTGGGTTGCTAGGAGATGAGGCTCAGTGAGCCAGTCTGCGATGAAGCACACGGCTGGATGTAGTCACAGCCCTTCCTGCCTCATCCTCACCCTACTTCCCCCGGAGTAGGTAACATGGGGAAGCCCCGTACATGCTTGAGTCAAAGAGAACGCCCACTGTGAGAGCGGAGCCTTGCTAGGGTTCCTACCAGAACTGTGTTCCCCCCTTACTGACACTTTTTTCCTTTTGCAGCCACAGGTGGAATTAAGAAATCTGGCAAAAAGTGAACTGTTCCTGTGCCTGGGGCAATGGTGATCCTTAGTTCCATTCCTGTTTTAACATCAGGATTCCCTGTCATCACATCTCTTGCCACCTATAGCTAAAATGAAGTGTTATCTTGGAGGCTGTGGGTACATTTAAGAATAAACTTTTGTAAAAAAAAGTTAATGATAATGATAATCATGCATTGGCTCATCTCTTCAGTTCTTCTCATTCTGCCATTTCAACCGTAGCTGTGTGGTCAGAGTAAACCCAGCTCAGAGTCCTGCCGAAGTGTGTTCTTCAAGATGTTCTGTACCACCTGGAATTAAACCAACTCGCTTGAAATGGCTGTCGTTTCTGTGTGGTTGTACACACGAAAGAATATGTGACGTTAGTGGGAGAGTTTGTATTTTGGAAAGAAAGGCCACCCTTCTGTGTTAGGACATCCACGTTGCCTTTTGACGGGGATGCTCAACTGTTCGCGTAGAGACTGCCACGTGCAGGCTGGGCCTGTGCCTGCAAACAGTTCCTGTTGTCAAGGACCTTCTCCAGGAGGGAGCGGGACAGCACATGACATGCGCCGTGAAGGGAAGCAAACGGAGCGATTCCTGGAGTCTAAGAAGCAAGCTTACTCCCGGGTCCCCGGGCCCACATTCCCGCCTCCGGGTCTGCGAGCGGTGGTCGCGGTGGTCCCGGTGGATCGGGCGGGTGAAGCGAGGTGGCGGGACGAACCGCGCCGGAGGCGGCCTCGATTGACTACCCGCGCACGTGAGCGTCCCGCGAGACCCTGAGCCTGACCGTGCGCCGCAGGCAGCACCCGCGCGGGGGCTCGGCGCCCAGGACGCACCCCGGGCCGCCGGACCTCGGCGCAGGGCCGGGTCTCAGGCCCGCAGAGCAGCGGCCGCGGGGCGGGGGGCGGGCACTGGGCGGGGCGGGGCGCGCTCGACGTGCGTCATTTCTCCGCGCCCGCCCGCCGGCAGCCGATTGGCCCGCGGGAGGGGGCGTGGCGGAGGCGGCAGGCGGCGCGCGGCGGTTGGTCCACCTGCGGCTTCGCGGCGACCCGGCGGCTCTGCGCCTCGGGGAGCGGGCGGCCGGCGGCCGGCGGCGGGCGGGATGGCGGGAGCCCCCGCGCCGGGCAGCAGGCGGCAGGGCGGGCCCCTGGCGCCCGGCCTCGGCCCGGCGCCCGGCCTCGGCCCGGCGCCCAGCAGCAGGCAGCCCCCGAGCAAGCGGGCGCGGAGCTTCCCGTCGGCGGCAGCCCCGGACCCCGAGGACCCGTTCGGCCTTCACGGGGACTTCACGGCGGACGACCTGGAGGAGCTGGACATCCTGGCGTCGCAGGCCCTGAGCCAGTGCCCGCCCGCAGCTCGGGGCGCGTCCGGTGAGTGCGCCGGGTCCCCTCCCCCCTCCCTCCCCCCGCCCCCGGAGGCGACGCGGCCCTGGGCCCGGCACCCACGCCGCCCTTCGCTTCTTTCAAGGCTGGGAGTTGCTCGCCCCGGCTGGTGGGGCTCCGTGGACGGAGCGTCGGGTCCCGGGCTCGGTTCCGGTCAGGGCACACGCGGGGTTGCGGGCTCAATCCCCAGGAGGGGGCGTGTAGGTGGCAGCCGATCCATGATCCTCTCATCATTTATGTTTCTATCCCCTCCCTTCCTCCCTGAAATCAATAAAAAAAAATTTTAAATAAAATCTAGGAACTGCTTGATGTAAGCAGCAGTCGTGTCCCCAAAGCTCCTTTGATTCTGGGGGGAGACATGGGTCAGGAATGTCGCACATCCGATTTGAAACGCAGGAAACTAGGTTAACAAGTAACTAGTTTCTGAAGCTCTTCGTTCTAGCAGGTCCCTGGGACACGCTCCCTCCACCCTCAGAACCGGCCTCCGCCTGAAGGCCCATTCCTGCGGGAGGCTTGAGGTGGCACGGAGGCCCCTGCCCCCCTTGAGCTGCGTGAGCATGAGGGCCGGGCAGAGGCAGGAGACAAGAGAGACTTGCTTCTTTATAAACCAGTAGTGAACTAGGAGCCCAGCCTTAGGGGCTGCCGCTCACTGAGCAAGGCGCAAAAGGCAAAAGCCCCTCCATCCTGGAGCTCACATGCTGTCTAGCTGGGGACGAACGAAGTTCTGGGCTCCCAGAAAGAGAACATCTGTCTTTTCTCTTTTTTCTTTTTTTTTTAAATATATTTTATTGATTCTTTACAGAGCGGAAGGGAGAGAGATAGTTAGAAGCATCGATGGGAGAGAAACATCGATCAGCTGCCTCCTGCACACTCCCCACCGGGGATGTGCCCGCAACCAAGGCACACGCCCCCGACCGGAATCGAACCTGCGACCCTTCAGTCCACAGGCCGACGCTCTATCCACCGAGCCAAACCAGTCAGGGCGAGAACGTCTTTCTTTTAAATACATATGTTTTATTGATTTCAGAGAGGGAGAGAGAGAGAAACCTCAGTGATGGGAGAGAATCATGGATCGGCCACCTCCTGCACAGCCCCTACTGGGGATCAGTCCCAAAACCTGGGCACGTGCCCTTGACCGGAATCGAACCCGGGGACCCTTCAGTCCGCAGGCCGACGCTCTATCCACTGAGCCCAGCCGGCCAGGGCGAGAGAGAAAGGTTTTGAGGGCACCTGGCGTCTCTTGGGTGTCTCGCAGGCATCTTCAGTTCCACAGTCATTTCCTGGGGACCCAGTCCTCCAGCATCTCCAGCCTGGCACCTGGCAAAACAGACCTTCAGAAAACACTGGCCGGTGACCAGATGCTCCGCACCATGGTGACTAGCACCGCTGCCTCTCAGCTGGCACAAGGCAACGCTCCCTTTCCGTGGCCTCACATATAATTCCCTCCCAACTCCTGTACCTTCACCTCCTTAATGCACCTCTGGAATCCGACCTCTTTGCATCATCTCTGCCATCTTCCTGATCTAAGGTACCACCGCCCTCCCCTGGACAACAGTCTAGGTCCTCTAGGATGTTGTCTTCCCAGTTCCAATCTGACTCCCTGCAGGTCAGACTTCACAGCACAGCCAGCGCGATCTGTTCCACACGCAGACGGGCTGCGTCTCACACTGATGCGCGTGAACACCCCTCCCGCGGTTCCCAGTGGGAAGACCAGAGCCCTTCCCATGGCCTGACAGGCCCAGCGCGGTCTGTCCCTTTCCCGCGTCCTCCTCGGGTTCAGCCACACTGACCTTCCTTTGTTCCTTGAGTTCTCCCTGCTTCTTTGCGACACAGAAACTGGGCATTGCTCTCCTCATGTCCTGTGAGCTCCACGGGCACCAGGACAGTCGCTTTGCTCACCACCCCATTGTGAGCAGGGACTGACCCAGGCCTGCCATACTGTAGCTGCTCAGTGCGGTTGCGTCACAGATCATTGAGTTCTGACCCGAGAGATCTTCACAGCGCCTTTCAGCCTTTAGATGAGACTTAACATTGGGGGGGTGATGGGGGGAGGGTGGCGGCATCTGTTAGTTCATAGGGATCATTTCTGAGTTTGAGTCATTCCTAGGTTGGAAAATATCTGTATCTCATACTAGATCTTTCTCTGCTTTGCTTTCGAGAGTGATTCTTTCCAGCATTGTCTGGCAGAAGCGGGACAATGCTGGGAACTGTTTCTTACAGGTGTTCATAGCGCCCCCAGATCAGGTGGGGTGTCCAAAAGTCCTGCAGGGAGAAACAGAGAGAGTGCTGCAGTCCAAGATAATTTTGAAATAGAGTTACTTCAGGCCCAATACAAAGAACTTAAAGAGAAGGTAAGTGACTTCACCTTTGGTTTCTGCAGCTAATCCATCACTTGTGCATGCATGGTGCAGTGACATATAAAAGGTTTTTTTTTAAAATATATAAAAGTTTTAAAATGAGTTCAGAAGTCACCCCATAAATGGGGGAAGGCTGGGAAAAGAAAGCCAGATCATTGAGGCCGAAAGAGACTCAATCCTGAGATTCCTAACAGACCAGGCAAGAAAGGAAACTGTATACCAGACCCCCCAGAGATGCAGGCTTCTTGTTGTAGCACAGACAGTGCACAGCAGGTGTCACCTAAGGGACACACATGGTAGTGGTGGCTGTTCTCAGTAGCAGTTTTGCCAAAAAAGCAGATATCCTTCCTGAGACCAACCTGGTCCCTAGGGAACCAGGACGTGATGTGGAATCTTAGTTCTGTGAAGTGTGAGGCTCACTGGGTTCCCAGCGTCTGCATGCGTGAGGGACGTGTGTGTGTGAGCCGCCTTGCTGGGCATCAGCCAGTCAGTGAGCAGGCCTCGCCAACCCCAGTGGCGTCTGGGGGGGCAGGGACTGTGAGCACTCACTGGTCTATGGGACCCGTTTCACGCGCGCTCTCTCCACCTCCCAGCCGCGTGTGGACGTAAGTGCATGTGTAATTTTCCTTGACAAACTTTTCACAAGGTCGGTTTGGCATTTCCAGATGAAGGCAATGGAAGAAGAAGTTCTCATTAAAAATGGAGAAATTAAAATTTTGCGGGACTCACTGCATCAGACAGAATCGGTTTTGGAGGAACAGAGAAGATCGCGTCTCCTGCTGGAGCGGGAGACAGCGCAGGCACTGAGCGACAGGGAGAAGGAGTTCTCCAAAAAGGTGACCCGCGCGTCTGTGTTCTCGTTTCGGACCCCAGCTCGGCCGCTCGCTGGGCTCCTTTAGAGGCAGCGGCCAGAGTTCCTGTGAAACTTCAGGAAGATGCCAGCAGTTCTGTGTTCGGTACTTTCCGCGCCAGTGAATGCGGGTCCTGTTCCCCAGGCTCTGCGCGTGGCGAAGGGCGTAGATGCACTGCTCTGCTGTGGTAGTTGGTCCTGGCAGGAAGAAACCACTAGCTTAGGCTCCAGAAGCAGGTTGAACGAGGGGAACTCAGCCGATCTAGTTGCTCCAAAAGGAAAGGGGTAGGCGTCCCGCTAAGTCTGGGGGAAGTGGTGTGCGGGCCCGAGGGGCTCAAGCCTGGCCAGGCCCATCCTGAACCGCTGCTGCAGCCAGGCTCCGTCCTCAGGGTGCAGGGCGCTCTCTGCAAGCGCCTGGGCTCTCAGCGCCTGGCTCCTCCTCAAGCTGTAAAATTCTGGGGAAGCTTTAACATTTAAGCTCTGTCTGACCTGAGCCAGGCGCCTGTCCCTGAACCAGTCACTGTCACCACAGAGGCAGTGGCTGTCCTTCAGATCACATGGTCAGAGGTGGGGGTGCCTGCTTCTCAGGGGGGTGCTGTTCTGCAAAGAAGAAGAGTAGGTGTCCAGTGGGTGCCACCCTGCCCCTCGGCACTTCCAGAGCCGTCACTTCACTCAGCAGACTTAGCAAACTTGACCGCAGCCACAGCACCAACAGCAGTGGCTGCCTTTCCATCTGCATGATGAAGAGCAAGGGCTTAGCGGCCAGACCGACCAGCGTGAGAGTCCGGCTTCATGACACCAGCGGGGACCTCGGCAGGGCCCTGAGCCCTGGGCCGCACAGCCCTCATCTGTCTGGGAAGTGACCTGGAGGGTCGGTGAGACCAGACGTTCTGCACTGGCTGCCTGGAGCGAGCCTGGCACGGAGTGTGCTCGGGAGGGACAGCGGCTATGGTGGCTGCGGGCCCTGAGGCTAGAGCAGCAGGTCTCGGCACACGCATGGGTTTTAGTGAAACTTCCAGGTGCTCTGCCCTGACTTCCCAGAAGGCCTGGGATTGTGCGCCACCTTCACTGAAAGGTCACATGGGCTGTGAGATAGGGCCCTTGTCAAGCTCTGTGCTGGGCATGTGGCCGGCATTATTTGATCCCCCACCATGAAGACGGGTGTTTCTGGCAGACGGTGCTGTCTCTCAGAGAGAAGGCTGAGCCCGATGCTGCAGGGCATCACGTCAGCAGGCTTTCACCCTTTTTTTTAGCACATTTTTGTTCTCATCCTCACTGCTGTTCCCCTTTAGCTGGGGATCTGGAAGCCGGTGGTATCTGCATGTGACGTACATGTGACGAAGTATGTTTCTTCCCTTCCAGCTCCAGTCGCTGCAGTCCGAACTCCAGTTTAAAGATGCGGAGATGAATGAATTAAGGACAAAGCTTCAGTGCAGTGAACGAACACATAAGCCAGCTGTTCCCTCCGTGTCCCACGGCAGGTGAGGGTGGTGCGTGTGTCGGAGGAGGTCTGAGGACAGTGTCAGGCTAGTCCTGCAGGCGGTTAGACTCTGCACGTGGCCCTGGGTCCTCTTTGGTGAAGGCTCAGAGGTGGTTTGGATGAGGCTGGGATGGTTGGGGGCGGTACAGCATCAACCCCCACACTCTAGACCTGCTTCCGTGAGTAGGACTTGGTAACACACCCCCTCGGGCTGGAAGAGGCCAGCGAGGTCATCTCCAAACTTCCGGGGGGCGTCAGTCTTCACTTGGGTGTCGTTTGTGTTAAATAACTGATTTTGCCCCAAGCATCCGTGGGGCATTTCCCTCACTCGCTGCCCGGGGCCTTTGTCCAGCAGCCCCGCTCTTGCTGCAGGTGTGATGAGCTTGTTGGTGGCCTGTGTCCGCTCCCTGCCTGCCAGGAAGGCGGGACAGTGTCGGTGTCAGCCTTGAAATTTGCATAGTGCGGCTCAGGCGCCTTTTCTGGTGGTGAGCGTCTGCAGCCTTGGCCCTTCATGGGCCAGGTGTGCAGTTGCATCTTGCCTTGTAGTCCAGGTAAGAGGAGAGCGGAGGGGACCGGTCCGCACCCTTCACACAGAAGGGCCTTGGCTGACACCATCAGAGGGTGAGACGGCCTCGAACACAGAGACCATGGCACTGAGGAGCCGGCTCCCTTTCAAGCTGCAGGACACAACACACCATTTTTCTTAATTTAAAAATTTTTAAATCATTTTTTACTTTTCAGTTACAGTTGACATTCAATATTATATTAGTTTCAGGTGACAACACACCTTCTAATTGACCCTCTTTCTACTGAAAATCTTTGACTTTAGTCCCTATTTAAAAAGTGGTCATCCCACATGAAAACATGTTTTGATAGAATTATGGCCAATATTTTGGGGGATTAGAAGAATATGGACATAAATGAAAGTTTTTTTCAAGACTTTGGATTAAAATGCCTTGAGTTTTTCTCTGCTTTGCGTGTTTATTGCTGCACTGCCAAGTCTTACTGCGTTTCTTTCTTTTTATTTGTTGGGGAAGCGTTGGCTGGTCACAGTGTGTAAGTTTCAGGTGTACAGCTTCCTGACACACACCTGTCTGCTCCACTGCGCTCACCACCCGGACGCAGGCCTCCGTCACCTTCCGTGTGGCCCCTTTGCCCTCCATGTCCTCCCCGACCCCGCCCTCTGGCGACCACCATGATGTCTGCCTATGAGTTTGTTTTTTGTTTGTTCATTTGTTGTCTTCTGTCCCACATGTGAGTGAAATCATGGTTCTCGTCCTTTTCTGTCTTCGTTCACTTAGCATCCCTGTGTGTAATGGCAGCGGCTCCTCTTTCTTTATGAAATGCCTCTGCGGTTACGTGACACACAGTGACAGACGTGTGCAGACAGATCACATGAAAAGCTCTAAGCCTGTTAGAATGTATAACCAGGTATTTGAAGTGTTTTTAGCAGAATCATTACTTTGCATTCATAGTTAACTTTTTCTAGTCCTAGGAAAAGCCCTTCTGTGGTTCTAAAGCCAGAAGCGTGTTCTCCACAATTTGGAAAACCATCTTTCCCTACAAAGGAGTCTTTTAATGCTAACATGTCCTTTCCCCACCCCCGCCACCCAGAGCCAGGGTGCAAGTCGCTGGCGGGCCGAGAGGGTAAGTCAGTCTGTCCGTTGCCTATTGCTGTGTAACCAACCACCCAAACTTGTGGCTTAAAACGAGTCTTTATTGTCTCCTGGTCTCTGTGGGCCAGCAGTTCTGACAGGGCCCATGGCGATGGTTTGTCTCTGCAGGGGCTAGAACAGGGGTGGGCAAACTTTTTGACTCGAGGGCCACAATGGGTTCTTAAACTGGACCGGAGGGCCGGAACAAAAGCATGGATGGAGTGTTTGTGTGAACTAATATAAATTCAAAGTAAATATCATTACATAAAAGGGTACGGTTTTTTTTTTTTTTTTTGGTTTTATTCATTTCAAACGGGCCGTGGGCCGTAGTTTGCCCACAGCTGGGCTAGAACCCCAGCAGGCGTGTCTAGGGCTCAGTCACGGGGCTGGCAATGGAATTCCTCTCTGCTGTGGGCGCCTCCACAGGCTCTGTGGCTGATCTCATCACCTGGTGACTGGCTTTCACTAGACCTAGCAAACCCAGAGAGAGGGGGTGAGCCCAGGGGGGAGGGCGCCCGGTGGGGGCTGTCCTACTTGTGGCCTCGCTGCGGGAGCCGTAGCGGCGCTTCTGCACGTCCTGTTTGTTGGAAGCACATCGCTGAGTCTGGGCCATGTGAAGGGGAAGGAAGCTCGGGCGCACCTTTGAAGAGAACGGTGCCAAAGTGCTGGCAGGCGCATTTTAGAACCCCTGGCAGCATCAGAACCTGCCAGAAACACAGCTCGTAGCAGGGCCCTGTGTTCCCCTCCTGCCCAGCCTCCCTCTTGTCCCACCCAGGCCGGACCGAGGGGCACCCCTGCTGTCCAGAGACCAACAGCCCAGCAGCAGGGGGGCTCCACAGAGACGGCGCTGTGCCAGCTCAGCTCACCCTCCGGTGCCTGCCCCGCCCCTGCCGCTCGCAGCCCTTTCCAGCCTCTGGCCGTCGCCCACCTCTGAGAGCCTCAGCCACTCACCCCTGGAGTCCAGGGGCAGCGTGGGGTGGGGGGACGAGCAGGCAGTGGAGCCCACAGCCTGGCCAGGAGGCCCCGTCCACTGCTGACCGGCTTGTGTGATTTAAGCAAGTTGCTTACCCTCGTGCCTCAGTTGTCCTCTCTGTGAAACAGCTGGTGACAACACCTGGCAGGGCTGCGGGCAACCGGTGAGCCACCGTGCAAGGCTCTCGGACAGCAGCAGCACCAAGGACAGGAGTGGCTGCTGCTGCTGTGCCGCTGCTCGCCTGCAGGGGGCGAACAGCTGCAGCGCCTTTTCCGTTTCTCATGGTTCCTGTTGTACACGAGGCCAGGCCGGAAGTAGGAGACTGTGTTCCAAGCCACTGCATTTAGCGTTGCTGATAGGCCTGTGCCTTTGTGCTCGAGTTTTGATTCACATTTTATCTAATTCCAGAAAATAAGACCCACAGTCTGGGAGGTGACCCCCCAAAGCAAGAAGAGTCCCCAAAAAGTCTTGTTGGCAGCCTGATGCAGAGATCAAACCCTCAAGGTACCAGAACCCTGGCTCCTGCGGGAGGCCTGCTGGCTCCCACTGTGCTCTGCAGGCTGCGCTCCTCAGCCAGGCCGGGAGGGGCCATGGCTCCTCGCCCGGCAGCCGCGCCCCCAGCCAGTCCTTCCGAGGGTCCGGGAGGCGTGGTTGTGACTCAGCAGAGACTGGAGAATGGCAGGGGCCCCGGCAGGCGTGTCCCAGAGCCCTCCGCACCAGGGGCCCCAGTGGGTTAGTGCACCCAGGGAGCCCTCCGTTTCCTTCCGAGGACACAGAAAGGCCTCCCGTGTGAGCACCTGCGAGAGTCGCCTTGTCTTCTGCAGGTTCCATTTTGATCAGCCTTCTCCTGAAGCAGCCGTTGATCCCGGGGTCACCCCTCGGTCTGTGCCACCTCCTGAGCTGTGGTTCTGAGACTCCCACCAGCACCCTGCTGCAGCCCCTGGGGCTTGGCAGGTAAGCATGACTCCTACAAAGCTTGTCGAGAAAGAAGTTTCCAGAACTTTCTGGGACTTGGTCAGCCTGGGAGGCCTGTGGCTGGACAGGGCAGCTAGAGAATTTGGGGGGCAAATTGTCTGGGGCCTTGACCGTATCCCCATCTCACGCTGTGCCTTTCCTTTTGTGTCTGTCACTAGCACCGGGGCTGGGATTTCAGGCCTGAGGACCACAGGCTCTCGCGATGGGCCGTTTCCCCTCTCGGCCCTACGAGAAGCACAGAACCTGGCTCTGACAGGACTGAACCTGATCGCCAGGGAGGAGGACTCCTGTGCCGGGGCCTCAGCAGAGGGGGACCCGGGGGCCTTCCCGCTCTGCCCGCTTCCTGGCGCCGTGCACCTGCTCCCCCTGGTGCAGTTCTTCGTGGGCTCACACTGCCAGGCGCTGCAGGACTCCGCAGCAGCCAGGAGGAGCGGCGCTCCGGGGGGCTCGCCCTCACGCTCCTCCTGCGGGAGCACCGGGGCGGAGGCCAGCACCGAGGACTCCCTCTGCAGCCTGGAGAGCTGCTGCGTGGCCTCGCTGGGCGTCCTCCAGCACCTGGTGTGCCACAGCGGGGCCGTGGTCCGCCGCCTGCTGTCCGGAGCGGGTGAAGGAAGCCAGAGCCCACCTCCCCCTGGGGACACCCCCTCAGCCGCGGGGGGCCTTGCCGAGGACCAAGGCCAGCACCCCCTGCTGGAGGTGCTGCTCCGCCTCTTAGCTTTCTCCTCTGCAGCCACAGGCCACCTTCCAGCCAGCCTCCTCAGCCAGTGCCTTAAGGTGCTGGTGAAATTAGCTGAAAACTCTCCCTTTGAGCTCTTGCCCAGGTACCATGCGCCTGCGAGCGGTTCTCTGTGTCTTCCCTGACCTTGGGGTTATCCTGTGGCCCTGGGGCTTGGCTCATATCTTGACTTGTCTGCTGCTCAGTTCTAGGCCTTGTTCAGGGAGTTCTGAAGTGACGGGGAGTGGGACTAGGTATGGGGAGAACCAAGGAGGTGGTTTGTTGGGTTAACCCTGCCGCTGTACAGCAGGTCAGCAAAGACACGCGCTACAAGAGGCCGTTAGCTGCGGTGTATGAGTGTCCTGCCCCCGGACGGGCAGAGGCTGGGCCAAGAGGCCTTTGAACCTGGACATGGATCAGGCGGACCACATGTCACAACCACATCTAAGGGGTCCCCAAGGAAGCAGCAGGTGCAGGGGGTCTGCCCATCACTGCTGTGCCCACCTCGTGCCTGAGCCACAGGCTGCCTGCTCGGGGGTCTGTGGGAAGGGATGGCACAGCTACCCCAGCTCACGAGCCCTCTGGTCCTCAGTTCCTAGTGTGGGGGCCCTGAGCCGCACGCCTGGGGGCACCTCACACCATCCAGCCCGTGCCCCCGTCCAGTAACACACACACACACACACACCCCACTGCTGCCCGAGACGCCGCTCACACTGGGTGGCTGCTGCCACGTTAGCTTCTCCTCCCTGCACTCGGCTCCTGTGTCTAAGCACTTCAGGTCCTGGTTTCCACCAGACGGTGTTCTGGCTGGTCTGGTCCATCCCTGAGGTGGTGCCCAGGGCTGGCAGGACTGCAGTGCATGTGGGCAGCTGGTGGGCACAGGGCTCACCCAGCTGCCAGGCAGCTCAGCTCAGGGGCTGGCTGGTGATTTCGTGTTTCTTAGATGACGACACGAAACCACGTCTTACCATTTCTCTTGACAGACTCCATCCTCCATTCCTCTCAGCTTGTCCGTAGGACAGCAAACCTCAGCCCAGCCCCGGCGCTCCGTATTGCTGAGTGACCTGGCCTGTGTGGAGGCGGGAAACGGGTCCGAGACCCCAGGGGCAGGGTGCTGGGTGGGTTCCCAGCAGTGCATCTCCAGCCTTTGCTCTCGGTCACTGACACTGCCTCCTTCTTGGAGCTTCTCCGAATTCCTTCGCTTGCAGGCAGAGCCACCACCGCTCCCACTTGATCTGGGCATAAAAGCCAGGACAGGTGCCACCAGGGAGGGTGCCATGGCTGTAACACAGTACGTGGTGCTACGGGCTACGGCCTCATTCAGGGCACCGTGCCTACCGGGCTTGAGGGCACATCACCCTCAGGTGCTGGGAGCAGTTGGTCCAGGGCTGCTCCCAGGCACTAGGACGGCGGGCCTTGGGGCGAATAGCACACCCACCTCCAGCCGAGCGGGCCTGGGTGCTGTCGGCAGGGACACGCTGTTGTACATAAAGATGGGCTTTCTGTGCAGCTGGTTTCAGGGCTTTAGCAGACGAGTTAGGGCCACTTCTCACAAGCAGGTTAGAGCCCAGGGTCCCTGGCAACAGAACATTCGGCTTCCCTGCCCACCACGCAGGGTTTGCTCTAAGAGTTTGGCGGGAACAGTGAGACCTTGCGTCCTGGTGCATTCTGGGAATGGCCAACCCCCGATGCTGTGTGCTCAGAGGCTGTGGGTGCATGGAGGGGGCACTGGAAGACGGCCTCCCCCCCCCCCCCCAGGCTGTGCAGGTGGACACAGCAAATGGCTGTCTCGGGACTTGGTTCCTTGGTAACAGCGGTGCCTTGGGCCTGGCACTGGGGAGCCATGTGCCCAGAGCCCCGCCCCCGCTCACCCTGTGCACACCTTCTCACACTGACAAGGGCAAGGATGGTCCTTGCTCAGGAGCGGGCACGAGACCCAACCAGAGCCTAGTCCACGCCCGTCACTTCTGGAGCCTGGCCAGGCCTGGGTGTGGGCCAGGGCGCTTTCCTCACCTGTGTTCACATCTGCCCCCCACTTGGGAGCTGAGGCCGGGAAGAGCTCTGGCCAGTGGGCCGGGCCAGGGAGGCAGCCGCTTCCCGGTGGCACTGAGCGGCAAGGCTGCCTCGGCCACAGGAGCCCAGCGGGGCCGTGCCCACTCGTTCACGTCCAGGAGGTGGTCGGCCGGCCTCTGAGCCAGGCCTATCTGCACGGCATGCGTGGGCTTCCTGTTCCCTCGGGCGGGAAGTGGAGGCGAGTTGTGGGGTCGGGTGAGGTGCCAACCTCTGGGCCTGCATTTCAGGTTCCAGTGTGTGTTCCCGCTGCTGCCACGGTGCCTCCGCCCAGACGTCGCCCTGCCCAGCGTGCTGCTGGCGGTGGAGCTCCTGGCCCTCCTGGCAGACCACCAGGCGCTGGCACCTCAGCTCTGCTCCCGCTCGGGTAAGGGGCAGAGGGGGCACAGGGACAGGCTGGGCTCCGAGGGCTCCTGCACTCGTGGGGGCCCCTGAGCGAGAGGTGGACACCTTTCCAGAAGGGTGCCTCCTGCTGCTGCTGTACACGTACATCACCTCCAGGCCCGACGGCGCGGCCACGGACACGCAGTGGCTCCACCTGGAGCAAGAGGTAACGCCACACCCTCCCTGCGAGCCTCGCCCCCTCCGTCGCTGGGGGAGAAAGTGAACTTGGTCGCAGGTGTATGTGGACACGAACAGGGTAGATGACCACACAGATGCGAGGAGGTGGAGCCCGGGGGCCTGGGGCTGGGGGCCTGCGGTTGGTGGGGGGACACAGTGGGGGTCCTGAGCTGGTCTGGGAAGGCCACACCCACCGCGTCCTCGGGCCCCATTCGTGCAGGCAGCTGTCGGCTCTGAAGCCGGGGAGGCCTCGCTGAGCCCAGGCCTCGTGCGGAACGTCTGCTCTTGCTCTAGGCCGTGTGGCTCCTGGCCAAGCTGGGCGTACAGAGCCCCTTGTCCCCGGTCACTGGCTCCAGCTGCCAGTGCAACACGGAGGTGAGAGCCCAGGCGCGAGGCGGGTCTGTGGGTGGGTGAGCAGCAGGTACCAGGACCCCTTCCTGCCTCTCACCCTAGTGCCACCACTCGGGCTGAGCAGGCTGTTGGGGTGCAGGAGCTCCAAGACCTGACCTCGGCCTGCACCCCAGGTGGTCCGGGTGCTCACGGTGGTGCTGCACAGACAGTGGCTGACAGTGCGGAGGGCAGGGGGCGCCCCGAGGACGGCACAGCAGAGGCGCACGGTGCGGTGTCTGCGGGACGGGGCGCTGCTGCTGCACAGCCTGTCCCAGAAGGACAAGCTCTTCGCCGTGCACTGCGTGGGGGTCCTGCACCAGTACGACCAGGCCATGCCCGGGGTCAGCGCGCTCATCCGCAGTCTCCCCGACGTGACCGACTGCGAAGGTGAGCAGGTGGCGGGAGGGGGACACCCTGAAGTGCAGGCACAAGTCGGGTTTCCTGGCCTGCGGCCCTCCGTCCACAGCCTTGTCCACAGCCTTCGCCAGCACCGGGCTGCCTGTGGCTCCTGTCGGTCAGCCTGACAGAGCCACGGGTTTTCCAGAGACATCCCTGTCTGATTGCCTGGTATCACTTTGCGCCAGTAGCTGAGCAGGAGGCCTGGGCTGGCGGGACGGGTCAGTTCCGGGGAGGGGGAGGGGGAGGGGAGGCGGCCTTCGGCGCTTCCGGCCTCCGCCAGAGCAGAGCCCTCTGGTTTTGGCGCAGAGGCTGCCCTGGATGACCTTTGCGCGGCGGAGCCCGACGCAGACGACCCCGACATGGACTGCGGCTGAGGTCTGAGCATCGCGCCCACGGCTTCCTCCCGGGCTGATTAAAGCAGTGCTGCCGAGAACGGCCTTTTGTGTTGCCTGAGTCTGGTCTGTGTTGGAGACGGGGAGGGATGGAGCAGCTACACCAGGGAAGGCTGGATCCTTCTTCCGGTCCTGCTGCAGGAGCCGTCCCCATGGCAACAGCCTGCCCGGAGGAAGGAGCCCTGCCCTGCCTGTGGAATTGTCCTGAGTCATGGCTCTGGGCTGAGGCCATGGGAAGAAACCATTGTACAGCCAGGAAGGAGGCAGCCCTGGGGAAGGAGGCTCAGGCTGGGTGCCCAGTGCCAGGGCAGGGGCTGCTGGCAAGCTGAAGTCCCTGTGGGCCTTCCCCATGGCCTGGAACCACTGCCCGTCCTGGCGTGCTCTCGCAGGTGGGAGGGCCGGGTGCACCGTGCAGGCACAGCTAGAGATCTGAGGCCTTTGGGGAGTCGGGGGCGGGGAGGGCCTGGGAGGCATGGGTGTTGGCAAGAGAGGAACCGGGCAGGCTGACTGGCAGGGCGGGCCCAGTCACACAGCAGCTGTAGGCGGCTCCGGCTAAGTTTCACTTCCCGCCTCTGGGGCCAGCAGCGAGAGCCGTGTGCTGTGTGCCGTGTGCCGGAGTCATTGCCACCCACCGGTCTGCCTGCCGCTTGGTAAGTGAGGACCCTGGAATTGGGCAGGGTGGGAAGGCCAAGGGCTCCGCCCCCCCGCCCCCCCCCCCCCCCACTAAGTGGGTACTAGGGGAGAAACCAAACCTCCCCCGGTTGAGAGCTGCTCACACTAGACGCCACCTACTCTCTGGCTTCCTGCCCTGAAAGTGGGTTCTGGAGCTCACCAGCTGTGCAGGGGGCCAGAGCAGTGCCTGCCCCCCTCCCACCCCACCTCAGACCGTGTCCCTGGGGCACTCACACCACTCTGTCCTCCCAGGCTCAGGCAGGCATCCACCATGCGCTCGCAGGCCCCGCCCCCAGGCCCCATGCAGACCCTGATCTTCTTGGACCTGGAGGCCACCGGCCTGCCCTTCTCCCAGCCCAAGATCACAGAGCTGTGCCTGCTGGCCGTCCACAGATGTGCCCTGGAGAGTCCGCCCACCCCGCAGCAGCCTCTGACGGTGCCCCCCCCACCCCGCGTGGTGGACAAGCTCTCCCTGTGTGTGGCGCCAGGGAAGGCCTGCAGCCCTGCGGCCAGCGAGATCACCGGCCTGAGCACCGCCACGCTGGTAGCACATGGGCGCCAGTGCTTCGACGCCGACCTGGTCCACCTGCTCCGAGCCTTCCTGCAGCGCCAGCCGCAGCCCTGGTGCCTTGTGGCGCACAACGGGGACCGCTACGACTTCCCCCTGCTCCAGGCAGAGCTGGCAGTGCTGGGCCTCGCCAGCACGCTGGACGGTGGCTTCTGTGCGGATAGCATCGCCGCCCTGAAGGCTCTGGAGCAGGCCGGCCGGCCCCCCGAGCAGGGCCCGCGGAAGAGCTACAGCCTGGGCAGCATCTACACGCGCCTGTATGGGCAGGCGCCACCGGACTCGCACACGGCCGAGGGGGACGTCCTCGCCCTGCTCAGCATCTGCCAGTGGCGGCCCCGGGCCCTGCTGCAGTGGGTGGACGCCCACGCCAGGCCCTTCAGTGCCGTCGAGCCCATGTACGGGGCCACGGCCGCCACTGGCGCCAACTCCAGGTCGCCTGCTGCCACGGCCTCGGCGCTCCTGGGCAGAGCCAGGCATGCCCGTCGCAGCCTTGGGGCCAGCGTCCCTCCCCCAGGGCAGGGCCCTGCATCCTCACCCAGGGAGGGACTCCTGGCCCCACTGAGCCTGCTGGCCTTGCTGACCGTGGCGCTGGCCACACTGTACGGGCTGTCCCTGGGCTCACCTAAGCAGTAGCTGAGAGGAAAGCCTGACAATAAAGACCCCGCACTGAGTGCCCGCGTCCTCCATTTCCTCGGCAGCCGCAGCGCCTGCACCTCTGCTCCGCTCAGCCCCCGGGGACGGCACAGAGGGCGGCACCACCTTGTCCCTTCGTCCCTCATCCTCGCTCGCAGGACGGTCAGACGTCTGAGCCCAAGTGCTGGATGGGAACGGTACCAGGCCCAGTGCCCCAGGCAGCCCTGGCCGGTGCAGCTGAGTTGGTTGAGTGACCTCCTGGGCACCAAAAGGCTGCTGGTTCGACTCCTGGTGAGGGCACATGCCCGGGTTGCCAGCTTGATCCCCAGTAGGAAGCATGCAGGAGGCAGCCAAATTATTTGTTCTTGCGTTGATGTTCCTTTCCCATCTTCTAAAAGTCCATTTTTAAAGAAGGAAGGGCCAGTAGCTCAAAATGTCTGCATTTATTATAAACCAAGGTACAGCTCCCAGACTCAGAAACGCATCAACAGTACAAAGTTGAGACAGATCTGGTGAGACAGTCACAGAGGGCTGGGGACACTGAGGTATTCGTATCTGGGCCAGCGGCCACCCAGGGCCCCCCACCTTGGTTCAGAGGCTGGTGGCCCAGTGTCCCTGCTGCCAGGACAATGGAACGAGGCTCCAGGAGCTGGTGTGAGGGAGACGGGAACTGTCAGGTCAGATGGTCCCTCTCCTCTGGGCCAATGTCCCTCTGGGACCCAGGGGTTTCAGCCTCAGCAACTATCACATACATTTTAAAACAAAAGAGGCAAAAAAAAGTTTGGATAAAAGTACAACAAAGACACTGCAGGGAGGACACCTGAGTGTGTAGGTGGACAACGGCCACCCTGTCCACCTGTGTCGGGGGCCAGGGCAGCCAGCACCGAGGCGGATGCGGCCTCCAGGTGGTCCCAGGGCCTGGCTCCAGGGAACGATGGGATCAAAACCCAGCTTACCCCGGCCCCACTCACCGCCCTGCAGGAGCTCTGTTCTGTGAGGGAGGCCACACCTGGGGGCAGGCATGGCCTCAGGCGGGCTGGCCACTGCAGAGCCCGAGCATGTGCGCTCGCTGCCCACAAAAGGCGGGGCTGTCCGAGTGACGACCCCCCGGTCTCCCGGGCGGTCTGGCCAGGAACTCACCCCATTCTTTGAGTTTTGCTTGGGATTTCAAGGAAGCATAATTTGAAGTGAGGAAGAGAACAAAGGATGGTTCCAGCAACTCTGGTGAGGCTCGTCCCCACCTTGTCATCATCACGTGTATAAACAGGACACACACACCGCACGGGTTGAAAGGCTGTGCCTGCATAGCCGCACAAGCGCACACACACACACACACACACACACGCGCGCGCGCGCGCGCGCGCGCGCGCGACGCATCAAGTGGCAGCCAGAGATGCAGTGCGTTCAGCGGGTGGCCTTCGGGGGGTCCATGTAGGCTGGGTTGTAAGGAGGCTGGCTGGCAGGATAGGCCATGGCTGCACCCCCTGGAAACAGAGAGGGCAGAGTGGCTGCGGGCGCCGCGGGAGCGGGAGCCGGAGCCGGGCAGGGTCAGAGCGGCACTGGACTCACCAGCCAAGGTCTCGTGGTAGGCAGGCGGGCCCACGGGCTGGGCGGGGTACGGGGGTGGGTACTGCGTCGGGTAGGGTGCCGCCACCATCCCTGGCTGGGGGGCGATGGGGTGGTAGCCCTGGTACGACGGCCCGGGGTAGCTGGGTGGCACGCTTGCAGGCTGAGGGTAGGGGGCGTGCACCACCGTGGTGGACGTGTTGGTGGTCACAACCGCTGTGAAGAGAATCTGTCAGGACCCGCGGCTTGCCCCGCCCTCCCTCCAGCGTAACCCAATCAGGGCCCTGGGCGCCCGTGGCCCCGCCCTCCCTCCAGCGTAACCCAATCAGGGCCCTGGGCGCCCGTGGCCCCGCCTTCCCTCCAGCGTAACCCAATCAGGGCCCGGGCGCCCATGGCCCCGCCCTCCCTCCAGCGTAACCCAATCAGGGCCCTGGGCGCCCGTGGCCCCGCCTTCCCTCCAGCGTAACCCAATCAGGGCCCGGGCGCCCGTGGCCCCGCCCTCCCTCCAGCGTAACCCAATCAGGGCCCTGGGCGCCCATGGCCCCGCCCTCCCTCCAGCGTAACCCAATCAGGGCCCTGGGCGCCCGTGGCCCCGCCTTCCCTCCAGCGTAACCCAATCAGGGCCCGGGCGCTCCCTCGGGACGTGCTTACGGCGGGGGGGGCAGCACATCTTGTACAAACAGCAGCAGGAGCAGGTGAAGCACGCGATGATGGTGACAATGAAGAGCACAAAGATGGTCAGGCCGATGGCTATGGTGGCCCCGGACCTGCCAAAGAGCCGGCATGACCCGGGGCCTCGGCCCAGCCAGGACCCCGCCCCCCGGGCGCCCCCCCGAAGGAGGAAACGCTGGGCTGCGCGGGCGGGGCGCTTCCGGGCGTGTGGCTGGAACCCCAACCTCGGTTTCCTCCGGGCGGACCGGCTGAGTCTGCCCCCCCTCACCCCCCGCCCAGCGCCCCGTCTCGTCCACCGCCAACCCCCAGCGCCTGGTCATCGACCGCAAACCGCAGCCGGCGCTGTGCTTTACGTCAAAGGCTCGGTGATGGGCGAGACGCACCCAGTCCTGCCCGGAGCCCACCGGCCAGGACGCGGAGCCGGGGCAGCGGGAGGGGAGGGGCCGGCCTCGGCGCTGCAGGCTCCCATCCGGGCAGGGCCGTCCCGGGGTGCCCGCGCCAGGTGCTCACGTGCACCCCGCACCCCTGGGCCTCCCGGTGGGAAAACGAAGGGCCCCCCCGCCGCCCTCCCCCCCCCCCGAGAGCCAGGCTCTCCCAGGAAGCAGGCTGGGCCGAGGGTCACCGCTCGGGCTTTCAGGGCCTACAGGGCCCCCTGCCCCGGGGGTTCCTCAGCCCAGACGGCGCCTGGTGTGGGGGCAGATGGACAGACCCTTACGCTGCACCCCAAGTGCCCGCACTCGCGGGGCATGCGGCCGGCCAGCAGGCGCCTTCCCGCCGCCGAGGCCCCGCATCGCCAGGAGGGGGACACACTCCCCCAGGCTGTGCCCGGGAGGGCAGGCGGCGCTCTCGGCTCCCCCGTCCGTCCGTCCGTCCGTCCGTGCCACACACACACGCGGTGCCCACGCTCACCCCATGTCAGCCTCTCTCGCTCAGGCCCTCCGCCGACTGCCCGCTCCCATCCTGTCACTCCGTGTCATCTCCTCCCCTTTCCTCTCGCCGCCTCTTTCGACACCTCTTTCGGGGAAAAGGAAAGTGAACCCCTGGCCCTGCCTCCCCTGACGTCAGAGCAGGAAGCTGGGGCCTCTTAAAGCCACAGCCGGTGCGACCTGGGGGGACCTGCACGGGGCGGGGGCTGCTGAGCGCGGTGAGCCTCTGGGGGTCCATCCTCGCTTCTCCCCTCCTCCCCCCTCCTCCCTGAAACGTAAAACAAAACAGAAAGAGAATCCTCTTCGCAGAAACGGGACCTGCCCACTCGGGATTCATGACCAGAGGCCGCGGGGCCACTGTCCACAGAACCACCCCCTCCTCCAGCCACGGCTCTTCGGGCCTAACCTCAGGCCGGCGTCTTATTTGTTTGTTTTGTTTTGTTAATCCTCTCGGACCCTATGTTTCCATTGATTTTTTTCTTTTTTTTGAGAAAGTGGGAGGGAGGGAGAGAGACACATTCATTGGTTGCCACCTGCACGGGCCCTAACCAGGGCCAGGATACGTGCCCTTGACCGGAATCGAACCTGGGACCCTTCGGTCTGCGGGCCGACGCTCTGTCCACTGAGCCAAACCAGCCAGGCCTAGTATATCTTTTATACCAGAGAGACTTATGGCTCAAAGGGCCCAAGCATAATACGGAGATAATTACAATGTGGGTGTCAGGGCACATGCCCAGGTTGCAGGCTCGATCCCCAGTGGGGGCTGTGCAGGAGGCAGCCGATCGATGTTTCTCTCTCATCAATGTTTCAATCTCTCTCCCTCGCCCTTCAATAAAATCACTAAAAACATTTAAAATAGATAGATAGATAGATACAGATATATGGGTTTATAGGTAGATAGATACAGATATATGGATTTATAGGTAGATAGATACAGATATATGTGACTTCCTGGTTTTCCTGGGCTTCAGGAATGCCAAGATTAAAGGGTGAAATGGGGCCCAAAGAAGATAAAGGATTACCTGGATTTTACGGCAAAAAGAGTACAAAAGGTGAAAAGGGAAGCTGGTTTGCCTGGCCTTCCCGGATGTGCCGGGAGCCAGCCCCATCGCCCGTCCCCGTACACGCACCACCATCACCCGTCACTGTGTCCCCGTCTGCTCGGTGCGCCCACCCCGTACACGCACCACCATCACCCGTCACTGTGTCCCCCTCTGCCCCATCGCCCGTCCCCGTACACGCACCACCATCACCCAGCACTGTGTCCCCGTCTGCTCGGTGCGCCCGTCCCCGAACACGCACCACCATCACCCGTCACTGTGTCCCCGTCTGCTCGGTGCGCCCGCCCCGTACACGCACCACCATCACCCAGCACTGTGTCCCCGTCTGCTCGGTGCGCCCGCCCCGTACACGCACCACCATCACCCAGCACTGTGTCCCCGTCTGCTCGGTGCGCCCGCCCCGTACACGCACCACCATCACCCGTCACTGTGTCCCCCTCTGCCCCATCGCCCACCCCGTACACGCACCACCATCACCCAGCACTGTGTCCCCGTCTGCTCGGTGCGCCCGTCCCCGTACACGCACCACCATCACCCAGCACTGTGTCCCCCTCTGCTCAGTGCGCCCGTCCCCGTACACGCACCACCATCACCCAGCACTGTGTCCCCCTCTGCTCAGTGCGCCCGTCCCCGTACACGCACCACCATCACCCAGCCTGTGTCCCCCTCTGCTCAGTGCGCCCGTCCCCGTACACGCACCACCATCACCCAGCACTGTGTCCCCCTCTGCTCAGTGCGCCCGTCCCCGTACACGCACCACCATCACCCAGCACTGTGTCCCCCTCTGCTCGGTGCGCCCGTCCCCGTACACGCACCACCATCACCCAGTGTGTCCCCGTCTGCTCGGTGCGCCCGTCCCGTACACGCACCACCATCACCCAGACTGTGTCCCCGTCTGCTCAGGCGCCCGTCCCCGTAACCGCACCACCATCACCCAGCACTGTGTCCCCTCTGCTCGGTGCGCCCGTCCCCGTACACGCACCACCATCACCCAGCACTGTGTCCCCCTCTGCTCGGTGCGCCCGTCCCCGTACACGCACCACCATCACCCAGCACTGTGTCCCCCTCTGCTCGGTGCGCCCACCCGTCACTGAGTCAATGTGAACACCCACCCTTGGCCTTTCAAATCCCAACCCCCAACCAGGGTCACTCCCAGCCCCAACACAATGATAAGGATACAACTTCCCAGCATAAGGATCAAGACATGGTGAGGGCTCCCAGGGGACGCTTTTGGGGGGCTCCACCCCATGACTCTGTCTCCTCCCAGTCCCCACAGCCCCCGTCCCCACTCCCCCTGAGCCCCCTTGACACCTCCGCCAGAAAGACACCCCAACCCGCTGGCTGTACTTACCCTGGCAGGGGGTTGGTGTCTATGTCGGTGTACTTCAGCGACGTCTCCACCATGTTATTCCTGACACTGGCCAAGCTGCAAAGAGAAAAGCCCATGATTAACACAACCCACCCCGCCAGCACGCCAGGAGCGCGCGCGCACACACACACACACACGCACACACACACACACACACACACGTTAGCGCACGGAGCTCGCACAGGAGCCAACCCGGGACGGGGACGGGCGTCCTGAGGGCGGATGGCCCGCACACTCCCAGGGTCTCGGGCGACAATGCCATGCATTCTTCTCAAGTGCACACGGGACCTTCCCCAGGACAGACCACACGTGAGGCCACAACACAAGTCGCTACAGATTTGAAAAGACAGCTGTCATACAAAGTACCTTCTCTGACCACAATGGGATGGAGTTAAAAATCAGTAACAGGCCCTGACTGGTGTGGCTTGGTGGGTAGAGCGTCAGCCTGCAGACTGAAAGGTCCCAGGGTCGATTCCGGTCAAGGGCATGTACCTGGGTTGCGGGCACATCCCCAGTAGGAGATGTGCAGGAGGCAGCTGATCGATGTTTCTCTCTCATCGACGTTTCTAACTATCCCTCTCCCTTCTTCTCTGTAAAAAAATCAATAAAATATATATTTTTAAAATCAGTAATAGAAGATTACAATGCCACAGTGTTTAAAAAAAAAATGCCAAAAATAACTCAGACCTTGGAAATGAATTAATCTGGCACAAAAATATTTAAATTAAAAAAACAAAACAACCAGTGGGTTAAATAAATCCCGAAGGAACAGAACGTTAATAGTGAGACGGTATTACACTCAGGAAGGCGGGAAAATAGTGCGAACTCCCACAGAAGGAAGGACTTAAGAAAGGTAAGTGCCAAGTTAAAGCAGCCACAGAAAGTCAGAGAAGAGGAACAGAACCGGAGCTGGAAGACATCTGGCAAGACTAACCACCATGAAAAGGGGAAACGATACCAAAGGAAAAACATGCAGAAGGAAAGAAGGGGAAGTGGCTGTAGGCACAACAGAGATTTTAAAAATAATAACAGCCGCACCCTGGCCGGGTTGGCTCAGCGGGTTGAGTGTCAGCCCTCGGACTGAAGGGTCCCGGTTCCATTCTGGTCAAGGACATATACTCAGGTTTTGGGTTCAATCCTGGGTCAGAGTGTGTGGGGGAGGCAGCTGATCCATGTTTCTCTCTCATATCGATGTTTCTCTCTCTCCCTTCCTCTCTCGCTAAAATTATTTAAAATCAATAAAAATATATTTTTTCAAAAAATCAGTGTGGCCCTAACCAGTTTGGCTCAGTGGATAGAGCATCGGCCTGCGGACTGAAGGGTCCCAGGTTCGATTCTGGTCAAGGGCATGTACCTTGGTTGCGGGCACCTCCACAGTAGGGAGTGTGCAGGAGGCAGCTGATCGATGTTTCTCTCTCATCGATGTTTCTGGCTCTCTGTCCCTCTCCCTTCCTCTCTGTAAAACATCAATAAAATATATATATTTTAAAAAATCAGTGTGCAAGCTTTGGCAAACTGGCATAGTGGGGAGTACCCAGCTGGGACCCAGTGGCGGGAAGGCTGGGACGGAAAATCCAGGGGGTGAGTCTGGTACCTGAGACTCTCTCCCGGGGGCATCGCCAATGTCAGGTGGCAGCCGCGAGGCTGGGCAGAGCCTCCCAAAGCCTCAAGCGGGAGGACGAAACCCAGGGCCCACCGGGTGGGAGGCCCCAACGAAGCCCACCACTTAGACTTCAGCCTGGGAAGCTGCCCCCATGAGGAAGGGGGACACTGAGGAGACAGCCCGCTTCTCCCCCTCCCTCTGGTCTCCGCCATCAGGCGGCTGCTCTGAGCGCCCGGGGCCCTGACGAAGGCCCCTGCAGTGCCCCCGGGAGGACACCCCAAGCTCCACGTTTCTACACTCCACTTGGCAGACGCCATGTCAGACACACAATCCAAAGTGTCCGCGATCGCCCGACCCGACAGCCTGAACAGAAAACAACAGACACTACGGACAGCAGAAACGCGGGGGCCTCCAACCTGGGGTATCAGACGCTGACATGAAACAACAGTACACACTGTTCAAGGAGATTAAAGAAAAGCTGGAACAGTTCAAGAGAAACTGAAATATTTAAAATAATAATAATACAGTTCCAAGACTAAAAAATAACACAGCCGATTAATAATGAGAGCCTCCTGGTGCGGCTCAGTGGATAGAGCCTCGGCCTGCGGACCGAAGGGTCCCGGGTTCCATGCCGGTCAAGGGCGGGTACCTCGGTTGCAGGCTCCTCCCCGGCCCGGGCCCCGGTGAGGGCGAGTGCAAGAGGCAACCCATCGGTGTGTTTCTCTCACATCCATGTTTCTCTCCGTCTTTCCCTCTCTCTCCCTCTCTCCCTGGAAACCAATGGAAAAACATCCTCAGGTGAGGATGTAACAAAACATTTTAAAAGAAAAAAGGAAGGATTAGACACAGCTAAGGGTACAATCCGTGAACGGGAGGGCGGGTCAAAACCAACGTACGTACACGGAAGCCCAAGGACACAAAGAGATGGTCGATGCCAACACAGAACTCAGTCGGTGAGACGCGGAGGACAGTTTGCAGAAGGCCTGACGGCGCTGTAGGCGGAGACCTAAACGGAGAGGAAGGAGGGAGCGGGGCAGACGCGACCCTTTCAGGGACCTGGCCGCCCGTTTCCCAAAGCTGGTGAACAAGCCATGGCTCCTGAGCGCGGCAGACCTCACGCAGCAGAAACTCAAAGAAAACCACGCCTCGGCACCTCCCGGGAGCACGTCTTAAAAGCAGGCAGAGAAAAGGCACGTCCGCTCGCAGAGGAGCAGTAACACCACTGGCAGCTGCTTTCCCCACCGGAACCACAGACGCCAGGGGGCAATGGGATAAAAGCTTTAAAGTACTGAAAGACGTTGATCACTGCCCACCCGGAAATCTGTAACCGTAGGAAAATATCCTTTAAGAAGGAAGGGGAAATAAAGGCATTTTCAGACAAACAAAGCCCAGGAAAACCTGACACCAGCAGACCTGCCATTCAAGGTAGAAAAACAGGACCTCGGTGAAGCTTGCAGCCGTGGGAAGCAGGGGAAGCAGCCAGCGGCTCCCTCTGGAGCCCCCAGGCCGTCCCCCCCTCTTTCTCAGCGGATTTCTTTCCTCCCTGAGTTCTAAGGGTCCCCACGAGGCCTGCAACCAGGGGAGCAACGGGCAGCAGCAGCTCGTCCGGGGCTGACCCCTGACCCTGTCTCCCAGGCCCCCTTTTCTCTGACTTCCCCATGAGCCAAGGGCAGCCCTGCCTGGGCCCCTTCCTGTTGCTTTTCTGTCCCAGCCCTTCCTGTTCCGCTGTCCCAGCTTCATAAACGTCCTCTCTCGCCCAGGCCGGCTGGCTCCATGGATAGAGCGTCAGCCTGCGGACTGAAGGGTCCCGGGTTCGATTCCGGCCAAGGGCACATGCCTGGGTTGTGGGCTCGATCCCTACTCAGGGACGTGCAGGAGGCAGCCGATCCATGATTCTCTCTCATCATTGATGTTTCTCTCTCTCTCTGAAATCAATTATACATACATACGTGTCTGTGTGTGTGTGTGTGTGTGTGTGTGTGTGTGTCTGTGTATGTATTTAAAAAAACAAAACTGGAAGAATCTGCCAAAACAGAACACCTTCACTCAATGACTCAGCAATTCCACTCCTAGATGTTTATCCAGAAGAAATGTGTTTTTTTTATTTACTTATTTTTTAATTGTTTTTCTTTTCTTTTTAATATAGTTTTATTGATTTCAGAGAGGAAGAGAGAGTTAGAAACATCAATGATGAGAGAGAATCACTGATTGGCTGCCTCCTGCACGCCCCCTACTAGGGATCGAGCCCGCAACCTGGGTGTGTGCCCTTGACCGGAATCGAACCCAGGACCCTTCAGTCCGCAAGCCAACACTGTATCCACCGAGCCAAACCAGCCAGGCAGAAATGTGTTTCTTTTAAAAGATCTGTTAACAGAGAGAGTGAGAGCGAGAAAGTTCTTAATCTCTCTCAGAATAGCAGAAACTCCTTGGAGTCTGCCAAAATGCACGTGAGGATAACTGACTCCCAACAAAAAAGTGCAGGGTGAATCCATGGGCCACAGCAGGAGGGCACAGCATGGCACACTGACTGGGCCAGTCGCTGCTCTGCCCTCCCCGTGCCCTCCAGGGCCCACAAGATGGTACCTGCACAAACCACATACAACCCTCCAGGTGCCTGCGTGTACTGTGGGCACACACGCCCAGGTGCCCACCGGAGGACACGCTGGTGTAAGTACACCCAAGGGTGAGCACGGGACCAGCGGGGAACCCTGCTCAGCCCCGGCTGGGTGAGCGGGGCCTCCGGGGAGGGGAGAGCGGGCGAGGGGCGAACAGAACAGGGTGTGGGCGTCCAGCCCCCCTGGCCCAATGCCCTCTCCATCGTTTATTTTTTTAATTTTAATTTCTTACTGATTTCAGAGAAGAAAGGAGAAGGAGAGAAAGAAACATCAATGATGAGGGAGAATCATGTATCAGCTGCCCCCTGCTCGCCCCTTACTGAGGATCGAGCCCGCAACCCGGGCCTGTGCCCTGACCGGGAATCGAACCATGACCTCCCGGTTCCTAGGTGGACGCTCACGGTCCACTGAGCCACACGGGCCGGGTGTCCTCCACCATCTTGGAAGTGCTGAGAAGCCAGAGGGGCAAGGCCATTCCCTTCCCTGCTCAGCCCTGCTGGCGCCCCCACCGAGACCCCTGGTGCTTCCACCGTGACCCCAGGCGATCCCACCGTGACCCCTGGCGCACCCACCTGTCCTGATTGTCGGCACAGCCTTCCTTGTTCCAGACGGACTTCAGGATGTCGGAGCAGCAGTACTGGTTGTAGCAGGTGCCACAGCAGAACATGGGGCAGGTCTTGGGGGAGAAGCTGTCTCCACCGGCCAACATGCACACCTCGCTGTGGGCTGGAGCGGAGACGCCTGCTCACCGGTGGCCAAAGGGGAAGCCTCACGCCAGGCCCCGGCCACGTCCCAGGCACAGCGCCCCCCCCCCCCCGCCAACCTACTCCCCCCGCCCCCCCCCCCGCCTGCTTGCCTTCTGATGGGGAGTGAACTTTCTAGGTGAGTCTGACTGGGCCAGTCGTGCCCTCAGCCCTGCCGGTGCACACGGCGCGAGGGCCAAGTCCACGGCCCACAGAGCAGGGCCCAGAGGCAGAGGGTCTGGAAGGACAACCCACTTCCCAGCCCATCCACACTCGGCCCCCCTTCCTGTTCCCATCCTCGCCTCACACCTCGTCCTTCACGGCCTCCTCCGGGCTGCCCAGGCCCCCATCACACAGCTGAACTAGCTGCGGGGGACCAGGCATTGGGCCGGCCAATTTATTTTTTTTAATCCTCACCCAAGTATATGTTTTCAGTGATTTTTAGAGCGAGAGAAATAGAGAAACATCCATGTGAGAGAGAAACATCCCAACTGGGTCCCTAGCCCAACTGGGGATCAAACCTGCAGCTGAGGTGTGTGCCCTGATGGGAATCGAACCCGCAACCTGGTGGTGTGCGTGAGGCTGCTCCAACCAGCTGAGCCACCTGGCAGGGCCCGGCCAGTTCTTGATCCTCATCCCCTCTCCCCGCCCTCAGCCACAGCAGCTCAGCCCCTGCTGGACTCCACATTCAGGGGCCCAGCCCCGACTCACGGCGCAGTCTCCTGATGACTCACCAGCGGCTACAGTCACACCCACAGGTGTTCCCGGGCCCAGCCCTGCGCGGGGCTGCAGCGGTGCCTGGGCAATGCGCATGCCCTCGGGGGCCAGGGCTCCGAGGCCCAGAACCCGTCCCCAGGCTCTCGGACACACAGGTGGGATGAAGGGCCTCCCGCAGGCCGGGGTGAGGACAGAGCCTCAGGACACAGTGTGGACAATGGCCCAGGACTTCGGGTGCCAGGAGGTCTGCAACCTCCCAGCCAGATGCTACAGCCGTGTTCCCACGCATCCTGAAGCCACCGCAGCACAGGGCCGGTGCCCGCCAGCAGGACGGGCAGTTCAGGGTTCCGCCTGGACAGGTCCCCAATGGAGCCAGCCGGTCCCCCGAGACGCCAACGACTGGCAGGCTGGGGAGAGGCCTGAGGGGTGGCGCTGTCACCTGGAGACGCCAGAGCCCGGCCTGGTCAGGGCACCTGGTACCTGGGGCCATCGGAGAGCAAGCGGCCGCCCACGGACTGACCGTGGGAAGAGCTATGGACGGAGGCAGTGGGAGGCCCTCCTCCGTCCCTGGCAGCTCCAGACAGAGTCCTGCTCGGGGCACAGCTGAGGGCAGCGGGTGGGACAGGCCAGCCAGCCCAGGCCGGCGGGCACTCAGCATGGCCCAGAGCTCGACGCTGGGGCCAAACACACCTGTGCCCCTCGGCCCAGAGCCCGCGACTGTGTCCTCTGACCCTCGCACACTCGTTCCAGGCTCCCCGGGCCAGGCTCTGCCCGCTCAGTTCCCACCCAGCCCCCCCGGAAATAAGGCCCTTTCCCTGAGGAAGTCCCCTCCCCGCCGGCTTCCTGGGCTGGGGCTGGGGGTGCCAATCCCTCACCCTAACGGCCAGCCCGGCCCCCCCTGCAGATCTTCAGGCCACAGTCAGCCCAGGCCCGGGCTGGGGTGCAGCCCTCAGGCCTGAGGAGGTCCAGCCCGCGAAGGCACCGAGCAGGTCAGCAAATCCCTGTTTCCCGTCCCCCCTCCTCTCTCCAGAATCAATCATTTTAAAAGAATTTACAGTCAACCAACCAACACACGGGGCAGTTCTGTCTCCGGATCACAGGCCTGGGGGGGGGGACAGGGCGGGGCTCCAGCCCAAACAGAGGCCGAGGGAGGGCAGGGCGTCGCCCCCAGCCCCGGGGGGCCACCCGGACATCCGGGACCAGCCGCCACCCCAGCCCCCGGAGACGATGGCGGCGGCGGCCTGGGGTCCGGGGTCAGGGGCGGGGGTCAGGCCGAGGTTGGCTAACACTCGGGTTCAGGGTCCGGCTGGGGAGCTCTGGGGGCGCTGCTGGGCTCGGGCCGTCGGCGAGGCCGTGGCTGCCGCGCCCCCCGCGGCCGGGACCCCCAGGCTCACCCCCCGGAGGCAGCAGCAGCAGCAGCAGCAGCAGCACCCGCGGCGCCGGCGCGGCCATGGTGAGCGCTGGACGGACGGACGCGCAGCTGGGCCGCCCGCCGGAAACGCCGGCTCGAGTGCAGCGCGTCTCGGCGACCCGCGGGAACACCGGTCCGCCCGCCCCGCCCGCCCGCGGCCCCGAGCCCCGCCCCGGCGGGCGGGGGAGGGAGGGGGCGGGGGAGGGAGGGAGGGGAGGGGGAGGGAGGGGGAGGGAGGGGAGGGAAGGGGGAGGGAGGGAGGAGGAGGGAGGGGAGGGAGGGGGAGGGAGGGGAGGGAGGAGGCCCCGCCCCCGCGCGATGCCTCGCTGCCCAGGGCGCCCCTGCCCGCGGCCCACGTGCCCGGCGGACCCTCCGCCCCGAGGCGCCTGGCAGGTGCGGTGGCCCAGGCGGACCTTGGCGCCCAGCAGCTGGCACACAGCAGGCGGCACACAGTAGGCGGCGCCCAGTAGGCAGGCGGCACACAGCAGGCGGCACACAGTAGGTGGCACACAGTAGGCGGCACACAGTAGGCGGCACACAGTAGGCGGCACACAGCAGGCGGCGCCCAGCAGCTGGCACACAGTAGGTGGCACACAGTAGGCGGCACACAGCAGGCGGCACACAGCAGCTGGCACACAGTAGGTGGCACACAGTAGGCGGCACACAGTAGGCGGCACACAGCAGGCGGCACACAGCAGGCGGCACCCAGCAGCTGGCACACAGTAGGTGGCACACAGTAGGCGGCACACAGCAGGCGGCGCCCAGCAGCTGGCACACAGTAGGCGGCACACAGCAGGCGGCGCCCAGCAGCTGGTGCACAGCAGGTGGCACACAGCAGGCGGCACACAGAAGGCTGCACACAGAAGGCGGCGCCCAGCAGCTGGCACACAGTAGGCACACAACCAACCCAGGCCCCTTTGGGGCCTAGTCCCGAGCCTGACAGGTCCCGGGCCCAGAGGACGTGACGCAGTTCAGCCCCTGGGGGCGCCCCTATTCCTAGGGCCTCCAGCCCCGTCCCAGCGGCTCAGCCCTGGCGGGGGCCTGGCCTGGGAGACGATCGGATCGGCAGCCCCGGGCACAGGGCGCCGGCTGCCCTCCGCGCGGGGCCGTGGTGCCCAGCACCACCGGCGGCTCCAGACGCCCGCAGCCCCGGAGGCCCGCGGGGAGCGGGTTCCATCGCCCGGGCGCCTATGGGAGGCAGTCAATTGCTGTTCCCCTCTCTCTACCTTCCTCTCTCCAAAATCAATAAAAACATTAAAATTTTTTAAAGCCAATAAAGATTTAATTAAAAAAAAAAAAGGTGCCAACCCCGCCGGGCGACCTAGGAGCCAGGAGGTCACGGCTGGAGTCCAGTCAAGGGCAGGAGCCGGGGTTTTGGGCTCGCTCCCCAGCCGGGGGCCTGCAGGAGGCAGGCGATGCGTGATTCTCTCATCAGAGATGTCTCTCCCTCTCCCTTCCTCTCTGAAATCAATAAAAATATCTATATTTTTAAAAGGTGCCAGAAGATTCTCTGATGAGAGTGAGCTTTCTGGCTCACGGATGGCCTCTGTCTGTGCCCCTCCCCCGGCGGGGGGGTGGGGGAGAGGGGACCTCGTGGCCGCTATGCCGGCACTGACCCCTCTTCCCTCCCACAGGCCCCACCTCCAGTGCCAGCCGCTGAGCCAAACCCCCAGCCTAGGAGAACCAGTTTGGGGCTGGAGCCTTTTTTTCCAACATGTGCCCTGACCGGGAAGCGCACCCTGACCTCCTGGTTCAGAGGTGGACGCTCACCCCTGAGCCACACCGGCCGGCAGGGCTGGAACCTGTGCGTACAGCCTGGACGCCGCGCCTGGGGCTGCCCAGGGGAGCCATACCCAGTGACGCCCAAAAGCCAGCGCCAGGCAGAGTGTGGGTGCAGCCCCCGCCCCGGGCTGACCTCGGCCAGGCGCGGCCAGCGGGACATGGAGCCTGTCGGGCCCTGCCCTCCCCGCGCACCCCGCACCCAGCCCCTCTCCTCAGCTCAGGAAGCACAGTGGCCACAGGCTCACTCCCCGGCCAGAGCCCAGCCCATCAGCAGCCGAGCCCTGGCCAGTGGGCTCAGCTGTGGGACCATCGTCCAGGGCACCGGAGTGTCACGGGTTTCTTTGGTTTTGTTTTTTGTAATGTTAATTTTTTAATAAACTTTTTCTCCTTTTTATATTTTTGATTTAAGAGAAGAAGGGAGAGGGAGAGAGGGAATTATTGATTGGCTGCCTCCTGCACCCCCCCCCCCCCCCCGGGGAACAAGCCCGCAACCTGGGCATGTGCCCTGACTGGAATTGAACCCGGGCCCCTACAGTCCGCAGGCCGATGCTCTACCCACTGGTGCGTTCAAAATACATGTGGGAGGGCCCAGCCGGTGTGGCTCAGCAGGTAGAGCCCTGGCTTTCGGACCAGTGGGGCCTGGGTTCGATTCTGGTCAAGGCCACATACCTCGGTTGCAGGCTCCTCCCCGGCCTGGGCCCTGGTCGGGGCTCGTGCAGGAGGCAGCCCATCAATGTCTCTCTCACGTTGGCATTTCTCTCCGTCTCTCCCTCTCTCTAAAAACCAATGAAAAGCATCCTCAGGTGAAGACTAACAAAAATAAGAAGAAAATAATAGAACAAATGTGGGGTGAGTTGGTTAGACAGCTCAGCTCCCCGAGGCCCTGGGGGGCCGAGCGGCTCCTTGAACAAGGCCTCAGGCAGCGAGTTCCTGCGTGGGGAGCGCCTCTGGGAAGCCTGCGTTTGCGGGGCCGGCACCGCACCGGAGCGGCTCCAGCTGCAGGTTAGCCTCACAGTCGCACTGGACGTTGGAAACCCAGGTGTCTGCAGCCACGCTCTCGCCCTCTGGAGGCGCCAGGGAGCTTGGATTGAGGGCCCAGCCGCCCCAGTAGGACCTACTCCACTTGTGAGGACCCAGGTGCCGGGGTGCAGTCTTCGGTGGGTGAATGTGGTGGTTGGGGGACACAGTTCAACCCCTGGCAAACGCCATAGTCACTGTTTTCCGTGGGCCAGGGCTTCTGACTGGAGACATTCTAGTTGAAATGGCTTCTGATTTCTTCTTTTTTTAATATATTTTTATTGACTTCAGAGAGAGGGAGGGAGGGAGATAGAAACATCAATGATGAGAGAGAATCATTGATCGGCTGACTCCTGCATGCCCCTCACTGGGGATCGAGCCCACAACCTGGGCCTGTGCCCTTGACCGGAATCGAACCTGGGACCTTTTAGTCCACAGGCTGATGCTCTATCCACTGAGCAAACTGGCCAGGGCAGAAATGGTTCCTGATTTCAGTGCAGAGACCAGGGCCTGGGTGGCAGGGCCAGGAGCAGTGCTGAGCTGCCCGAGGAGACGCGTGGAGAGACGCAGGGGGACCCCCCGGGGTGTAGAACAAGGTACCCAGAGGACTGCCCACGGAGACCTGGCTGCAGGAGAGGATGCCCCCACCCACCCCCGCCCCCCAGACATCAGGTCAGCAGCCCAGGCCCTGCGGGGAGCGGGGTGGCATCCTCGCAGGGGGCCCCGTGTCAATAGCACAGGTTGACGCTGCCCCCACCCCCAGGCCTGTGGCCACTCACGGGTGTGGCAGACGCCGGCCTGGGCCTGCCACCCGGGAAGCTCCCCCGTGAGGAAACGGGGCCCGCACGCCTGGGCGCGGCCTGGGTGCTGGCGGCTCCCTCGCAGCTGACAGCTCACTTTGCTCAGTAACATGACGTGATTGCTGCAATGCACCTCACGTTGCCGAGACCAATCTCCGCACGTTTCATCACTCAGCTCCTCTGATTCTGCCTGATGCCATTAGTTCCCGGCAGCACAAAATGCTCAGGCCCTTCCCCATGACAACACACACACACTCCTTTTAAAATTATTTATTATTTTAGAAAATGGAAGGGGAGAGGGAGAGAAACATCGATCGGTTGCCGCTTAAGCGTGCCCTGACCTGGACTTGAACCCTCCACCTTTCCTGCAGCGGACGACGCTCCAACCAGCAGCGCTAATGGCTCTTTTTCTTTCTTCTTCTTCTTTTTTTTTAAAATATATTTTATTGATTTTTTACAGAGAGGAAGGGAGAGGGATAGAGAGTCAGAAACATCGATGAGAGAGAAACATCGATCAGCCGCCTCCTGCACGCCCCCTACTGGGGATGTGCCCGCAACCCAGGTACATGCCCTTGACCGGAATCGAACCCGGGACCCTTCAGTCCGCAGGCTGACGCTCTAGCCACTGAGCCACACTGGTTAGGGCTCTTTCTTCTTTTTTAAAAACATGTATTTTTATTGATTTCAGAGAGGAAGGGAAAGGGAGAACCATCAATGAGGAGAGAGAATCATGGACCGGCTGCCTCCCGCACGCCCCCCACTGGGATTCAAGCCCACAACCCGGGCCTGTGCCCTGACTGGGAATCGAACCGTGACCTCCTGGTTCCTAGGTTGAAGCTCAACCCCTGAGCCACGCGGGCCGGGGCCATCCTGACACAAAGCCTGGCTCTCCTCCCTAAGGAGGCCAGCATTTGGGACCCACTTTCCAGGGACCCAGGAACCCTGTGCTTAATGTTCCACCCCAGACCCGCCCCTCCCCCACATCTGCCTCTGGCTCAGGGGTGAGGGCCGGGCTCACTGGGGACCGCAGTTTTCCTTCCCGAGAGGGCAGGCGGGGGTGGGGGCGGGACCTGGGACCTCACTACAGACTGAGACCACGGCATGGGGTCCCCAGAGCTGCCACACAATGCAGCCTCGCCTGAGGATCCTTGTGATTTTAAAAACTATTTATTGCAAAGAGCCCTGGACACAGAGTGCTGTGCGGCCGAGACCCCATCCCACCTGTTCCAGGGCGAGAGGAAAACGCCTGCGACCCACACATGACTGTGCTGGCCACGCCGAGCAGCCAGGCGGCAGCCGTGCGGAGACCGTCCCGGGGAGAGGCGGGAGGGGCTGCCCACACCCCTGCGGCTGCAGAGCCCTGGGCGCTGGGAAAGGCAGGGTGTCCTGCAGGGACACCCCAGGAAAGGCTGCAGGTGCAAAGCAGGCTTGGGGCCCTGGCCTGGCACCAGCGAGGTGCACTGTGGGCGGCAGGTGCACAGCATAGATCCAGACCCTCGTGGCCATCCACCCGGTGCTGGCCGCCCCCCCGAGTCCGGGGCAGGCGCGCCGGGCGGAGTGACGCACGAGAGAAGCCACCACAGGGGTGGTCTTGGCCAGCAGCTCCTTGGGGCTCCTCCTCGGGGCTCCTCCTCGGGGCTCCGTGTGACTGGGCGGGGCCGCGATGCCGGCTCCCTGCGCGTGACACGAGCCCCCACTCTCCCCAGCGGCTCAGACACGGCCTGGCCAGCTGTCCATGGTGGGAGCCCTCAGTCCCTGGCAGGGCGGTGGGCAGGGCTCTCCTCGCACCCGGGCCAGCGGGGCGCCTGCAGGGCTTCCGGGCCCAGGCCAGCAGCTGGGCCACACGGGGCTGCCCGCTTCACGAGGCCGACGGGCCGCAGCAGGCCCAGTGCCGGCAAATTCCGCCCGCAGAGCAGGCCGCGTGGCTGGAGGGTCTCCAGCTGCAGGTCAGGCCGCAGAGCAGGTGCGACAGCCCCACGGCCGTCAGCAGGAAGCGGGTGGCGTGGACGGGGCCCCTGCCTGGTGCCTGCGGGCGGCCCAGGGCCTGGAATGACCTTGTCTGCAGAGATGGCCGCCGGGTCGCCGTGGAGGAGGCAGGGTCACTGGTGAGCAGGGACCGTGACCAGGGCCTCCTCTGGAGGCCTCGCGATGTCTACGTTCTGCACGAAAACAAACAGACCTTCACCCGTGGGACCACAGCGCCGCGACCCCACTGTTGTCCACAGTACGTGGGCGCTGGGCTCCCTCTCCCTCCCGGAGCCCAGCTGCCGACGCAGCCCCCACCCCCTACCCCTGAGCCAGGGCTCTGCACCCCTGGGTGCGTGGCTGCTGGACACACAGGAACAGGAGAGGGGAAGGGCGCCCCAGGCCGCGCTCCTGCTCCTTGGGGAGCGGTCAGGCCTCCGCACAAAGGCACCCGTTAGACTCCGTGTGGCCTGCGTGGCCCACGGGCTGGGCCGGACCCTCAGGGCAGGCCCTGGACACATCTCGGCCTGAGGGGCTCGGGGCCAAGGGGTTGCCCAGGCCTGGCCCCTCGCTGTGCAGCCCCAGCCGCCTGGCTGCAGGGACTGGGGAACAGGTGTGGAGGGGGTGCCCGGGCTCCGTGGGAGAGGTACCCTGGGACCAGAAAGCGGTTCTGGGACACTTCGCGGAGCTCCTGCCTTAAACAGACGTGGGGAGCACAGCTGGCGACTGCTCTCCTGCAGGAACCCGCCCAGGCCCTCCCCCCACAGACACAGGCAATGTCTGAAGGCGCCCCTTCCCCGCGGGCACCCCTCCCTGGCTCAGCGTCTACTGTGGGGCTCCAGGGACCTCCCCCCCCGCCCCCCAGGCAGCGCACACGGACCACAGCCTCCCCTGCAGCGGAGAGCAGCTGGGCCTGGCCTGGCCCGGGACGGCTGGCCCCCCCCCCCCGCCCCCCCCCCAGCAGCCCTGTGGTACCTGCGGCCTCTCCCGGTGCGTGTTCACAGCCCCCACGTTCAGGAAGATGGACTCCACTTTACAACCTGCCAGAGGGAGAGCACGTGCGTCCCTCCTGATGGGCCCTCGCCCGGGTCTCCCGCCCTCGCCCTGCCAGGCCCCTGCCAGGCATGCCATGCCCAGTGCAGCCTCGGGCCGAGGGGTGGGGGGAGCACAGGCCTAGCCCCGCAGGGCGTCCCGGCTCAGTCCTCAGGCCCAAACCACCCCCGTCTCCCACACGGAGCGGTGCCCCCGCCGTCCTCACCCTCGGGCGCCACTGAGGCGGGGCTCCCCGGGACGCACCCACACCCAGGGCTCCAGGAAGCTGCCAGGTCCCAGCCCCGGGCAGAGGTGGTCGAACCCGCGCCCAGGACATGTAAGAGGCTGGTCCTGGGCGCGGGCTTTGTGGGGCTTTGCGCCCGTCATGTGGGAGGCGATGGGGACGGAGGCCCCGGAGGCTTCCTGCGGCCACGGAAATGGGACAGAACCATCTGAAAGCCGCTTGGGAAGGGGGGGCGGGGGGCCGGGGCTCTCAGTGGCTCCCGCACAGTCCTGGGCCCTGCACACAGCCAGGCCCGAGCACAGGAAGCGGCCTTACCGTAGGCCACGGGCGTCAGCTTCAGCACCGTGTGCAGCGGGCACTTGAGGTAGGGCAGCTGCTCTGTGGGCACAGACGGGGGTCGCAGCCCGCTCTCTCTCTCCCCCCCGCCCCCCCCCCCCCCCCGGGGCAGCCCGCACCTGCCGCCTTGTCCAGGAAGTAGGCCAGCAGGCAGCGCATCACCGCCTGGTGGCCGATGACCAGCACGTTCTCCTGCCGCTCCAGCTCCATGATGACCGGCTCCAGGCGCTGCACCAGGTCCTCGTAGGACTGCAAGGGCGGGAGGCCTCAGGGTGGGAGGAGCCACGGGGAGTGGGCCACCCCTCCACTGACAGGGGCATGTCACCGTGAGGGACGCTGGGGGCCAGTGAGGATGGGCCGTCTGGGAAAGGGATCTCCTCCCCCCGCCCAGGGGGGACAGGCCGGGAGTCCCACCTACCTCCCCCTTGGGGTAGCGGTACCGGTACTTGTCCTGGTCCCGCAGGGCGAACTCCAGGGGGTAGTGATCCTGGATTTCCTCGTAGGTCATTTCCTCACAGACGCCCTGGGGAGACACCCCGGTGGTCACACCTCTGTGCCAGGCCCGGGGTCAGCCCTGTGGGGGGTCAGGGGGGACAGTGGCAGGCAGAGGGCCGGCTCCGGGGCCACAGAGGCCCGCCCTGTCCGAAGCCGGACCCGCCTGGGGAGAGCAGGCCCTCTGGGCACCGGAGCAGGGGCGGCCCCTGTGCGCACAGATCCCAGCACGGCCCGTGCATGGGGGAGGACGGGGCTGTGCGCCTCCTGAGCCGGGACCCCCCCCCCCCCCCCCCGTGCGGGCGGCTGTGCCAACCCCCGGCGTCACTCAGGTCACACTCACTTGCACACCACACAGGCTCTCTATGAGCAAATCCATTTAAACGACAGCTCAGCAGAGGGGCACCGGCGAGAACACTTAGGCGTCTATACGCCCGGAGCGGCCCGAGGGCACTGCCCAGCCTTCGCCAGCGCCCAGCCCACTCCGAGCCGGAGCCAGGAGGACGTGCAGAGAAGCCAGCCCTCACCCGGCGTGAAAGGGAGCGGCCCCTTCAGGACACACCTCACAGTTAGTGTCTGCGTGACCCCGCAATTCCACGCCTCCGTGTACCCCAAGGGAAGTGAGGACCCTCCAGGCAAACACGGCACAGGAACGCGGGGCAGCTCTGAACACGCAGCCACACGTGGGAGCCACCCAGCGCGGCGGCTGAGGGACGGGCGAATCTGCGCCAGATCCGTGAGATGTTACCGGCAGCAGGAAGTGCGAGGACACGCGACCACACGTGTGCGCCTTGAAACACGCGAAGCGAAAGAAGCCAGTCGCAAAAGACCACGCACGGCATGACTCCATGTCTACGGAGTTTCCAGAGGAGGCCGAGCTACAGAGACACAAAGTAGACGGCGGGCTGCCCTGGGCGGGGGGGGGGGGGGGGGGGGTGCGGGGGGCGGGGGCGGGGGGGGGGCGCCGGGCTGCCTGTGGAGAAGTGAAGCGTCCTACAGCTGCCCGTGGTGACGGCTGCGCAACCTGCGGAAAGACTAAACCAGGAGGGGCGGGGGTGCGTGTCTCGGCAGAGCTGTTACCGAGGGGAGGGGAGGGGCGAGGAGAGGAGAGGAGAGGAGAGGAGAGGAGAGGAGAGGAGAGGAGAGGAGAGGAGAGGAGAGGAGAGGAGAGGAGAGTAGGGGCGAGCAGGCCGTCAGCTGGGGACGGCCAAGGAAGAGCCGCCCGGGCTGCTCCCGGAACACGGCCGAGAACAAACCCCAAGGGGAAGAGGACGAATGGGTGGCAGGTTCCAGGATCGGTTCCAGACGCGGGAGACAAGAAGGGGACCCACGGCATCTAGGAAGCCATCAGCCAAACACGGAGCCGCCACCGCCAGAGCCGGTCCGTCCCGGAGGACACGCGGCCCCTGGCTGCCTCTGGGGCGGAGAGGACTCACCCCCCCAGCCACGGCCGCGGGCCTACACAACAAACCGCCTCCTCTGGCCCCGCTCGGAGCGGATAATCACAGAGAAACCGAGGGAGAGCCCCTCGGGAAGGAGCCTGCACGGGGTCCTGAGAAAACACCGGACTCAGCACCGTGTGGCCGCTGGCCCCGCCCCGCCCGGCACCCCGGCCCCGGCCTCTGCCTCTCCGCAGGCCCCTGGCTCACGCTCTCCTTCCCGCCTGCCGGCCTCCAGTTCACTCAGCCGCCTCTCCCTGGACTCGCCTCCGCCCATCTCCCCACCCACTCCCGCGGCACCAGGCTCCTGCCCACCCCCAGGGATTTGGTTATTCCGTCCGATGGTCAGTCTGGAGCCTGGCCCCCCGGAGTCTCACCCACGACCACCGCCCCCTCCCTGCCTCCCTTTCATGACCCCATCTGCCTGCTCCCGGCCCCTCACTGGCTGCCCATCCAGAACCTCCCTGTACCCAGTCAGTCATCACCAGGTCTGCCCTTCACCAGAGCGACACCTGGTGGCCAGACGGCAGGTGAGCCTGGCAGAGCGCCGCGTTCCCTGTGTGGCTGTGCTGATGTGAAAGCAGGCCCTTAAAAGGATGAGCCGCGGCCCTGGCCGGTTTGCCTCAGTGGGTGGAGCATCAGCCCATGGACAGAAGGGTCCCGGGTTTGATTCCGGTCAACCCGGTGGCAGGGGCAACCAGTCGCCGTGTCTCTCTCACATCGACGTCTCTCTCTGGCTCTCCCCTTCCCTTCCACTCTCTCCTAAAAAAAAATCAACGGAAAAATGCTCTTGGATGAGGATCAACAAAAATAAACAATCATAAGAGGATGAGCCCACGGACACAGACAGTAGACAGGTGAAGGCTGGGGTCGGGGGGAGATGGGTGGGGAGGGCCACGGGGTAAAACGGGGGCGTCTGTAATATTCTCAACAATAAAAGAAATTTAAAAAGAAAAAGGATGCGAAGCCAGGGGCGGGGTCAGAAGGCACACACTTCGAGGAACGCGATGCTCAGGGCAGTGGCTACAGCCAACACTGTGGCCTGAGAGCTGCGGAGAGGAGACCTTACAAGGGCTCATGACCCGGAAACGGTCCCCACGTGAGGCGGTGGACGTGCACTTTGTGGTGACCGCTTGGCATATATACATGTGTCAGAGCGTCAGGGCGGGCACTTAAGCTGATACAATGTTGCACGTCAGTCACAGTTCAAGGCCGTCGGGAGAAGGATGAGAAGCAGGAGGAGCTGGGATGCGGGAGGAGCGGCTCCGGGGACAAAAATAGAAGTTGGGGCCAAACGCTGTCCCAACAGGAAGCTCGAGGAGGACCTGGAGACCCTCCACAATGATCCAAATGCAGCTTTAAAACAACTATCCCCCAGCCGGTGCAGCTCAGTGGATAGAGCGTCGGCCTGGGGGCTGCAGGGTCCCAGGTTCGACTCCGGTCAAGGACACATGCCCGTCTACAGACTCGATCCTCAGTGGGGGGCGTGCAGGAGGCACCTGATCTATGATTCTCATCAATGGTGTTTCTCTCTCTCCTTCCCTCTCCCTTCCTCTCTGAAATCAATAAAAATATATTTTAACCAAACAAACCCGAAACCCTCACCGACCAAGGAGAGCAGGCCCGGCCCCGGGGCGCCTACCGCGTCGATCTCGTTGAGGACCTTCCACTGCTCGTAGGGCACGCCCAGCGCCTCGGCCGTCTGGATGGTCCGCTTCATCTGGCTGGTCCACACCTTCAGGTCCTTGATGTTCTGGTCGCTGATGAACTGGGCCAGACGCCTGGCAAACTGCAACGGCACCGGCGGACTCAGGCCCCACAGCCCCAGGTCCCCGGCCACGCGCCTGGAGGACACGCGAAGAGCCAGGCGGCAGCACCCACACCCTCAGGGCTGTCCTGTGCATCCTTCCCAGATCCTGCTGTCGATCAGAAGGTCCCTGCCCGCCGCTGCCCCAGCCTGACCACGCCGAGGCCGCAGGACTCCCGCTAAGGCCTCAGTCTCTCCCCTAGACCACGGCCAGCACAGCTGACTGGGGGCTCAGGCCACTCCCCGAACGCCACGCCTCCCCCAGGTGACAGCTCAGTGGAAGCCAGACTCCCAGGCATCTGCTCGGTGCCTGGTGACCTTCCCTACACGGTGGGAACCTTCTAGACTGACTGAAGGTCATGCATCTCGATGATTACATATTGGCTATGAGAGCTGCAGCCCAGCGCACGCACACACGCACACACACATGCACGCACACACACGCACACACACTGACCTCCCTGCCCCGCGGGGACAGTCCGGGGTCCCCACCGATGCGGCCCTTGAGGTTGAACTCGCTCTCGCCGTGCCGGCAGAGGTAGATGGAGCGCGGGGCCACGTGGATGTTCATGAGGTAATACACGATGCGGCTCTGGATGTGGTCGGCCACGCGGTTCACCACGTAGCTCTGCCCCACGTCCATGATCTTGATGTAGGACAGGTCCCTGTGCAGAGCGAAGGCAGAGAGGGGCTGGAGTGTGGCCAGGGCCCTCGAGGGCACATCCTGCTGCCGGTCGCGGCCGGGGACCCTTGCATCTCTGACCGCCAGGCCTGACATCACCACAGGTGTCAGCGGTGATGGGGGTGGGGGTGAGGGGGCCACGAGACATGTGTGACCTGCCCTGCCAGTGTGGCTCAGTGGCTGAGCGTTGACCTATGAACCAGGAAGTCACAGTTCAATTCCGATCAAAGGGCACAGACCCAGGTTGCAGGCTGATCCCAGTGGGGGGCGTGCAGGAGGCAGCCAATCAGTGATTCTCTCATTGATATTTCTCTCTCTCTCTGCTTCTCCCTTCCACTCTGAAATCAATAATAACAATAAAAAGGTGGATTCCCGATGGCGGCGATATAGGCAGACGCGTCCCAGGTCGTCTCCCGGAGCAAATGGAGTAAGCAGCTGAAACTAATAACACCCACCCCAAATTGGCGAAACTACTCAGCTGGTGAGACGGTCTGCAGCCGGGAAGGGCAGAGCTCCCCTGGAAAGCAGATCCAAGCAACAGCAGCCTCCTGAGCACCACACCCTCTGTCTGAGGAACAGCAGCTGTACGTGAAACCTCCCCCCACCAGCCAGAAGAGCCACCACAGCTGTGAACAGCACCCACCAGAGGAGCTGCTGCCAACTGAGGAGCAGCTGCTACCGCAACCGCCCGAAGAGCAACCGCAGCCCAAGGAGTCACTGCCACCCAGGGAGCAGCCACTGAATGACTCAACGTCTAGATATGTCAGTGAGATCAAACATGGGTAGACAAAGAAACCCCCAAAGGAAAGAAAAAGAGGACTCGCCAGAAAAGCAGCTAAGTAATACAGAGGCATGCAACATGACAGAAAACGAATTCAGAATAAGGGTCCTAGCGTGCATAAACCGGACGGAGGAAAAAGTCAACAACTTCTGCAAGAAGCTAGAAGAAACAGATGAAAAAGTCAACTACCTATGCAAGAAGCAAGAAGAAACAGATGAAAAAATCAACAACTTAAGTAAGACCCAAGAAGAAATGAAGAGTGATATAGCTGCAATAAAAAACACCATTGAAAGTATCAATAGTAGACTAGGAGAAGCAGAGGACCGAATTAGTGAATTAGAAGACAAGGAAGCAAAACACACCCAAACTGTATTGCAATTGGAGAAAAAAATTAAAAGACAGGAAGAGAGCCTAAGGGAGCTTTGGGACAACATGAAACGAAACAACATACAAATAATAGGGGTACCAGAACAACAGAAAGATGAACACGGATTAGTAAACCTACTCGAAGAAATAATATCACAAAACTTCCCTGAGGTGGGGAAGAAAAAAGTCACACAAGCCCAGAGAGTCCCAAACAAGGTGAACCCGAAAAGACCCACACCAAGACACATCATAATTACCATGGCAAATGTTCATGACAAAGAGAGAATCTTACAGGCTGCAAGAGAGAGAGACGGAAAGTTACATACAAGGGATCTCCCATTAGATTGTCAAATGATTTCTCAACAGAAACACATCAGGCCAGAAAAGAATGGAAGGAAATTTACAAAGTGATGCAAAGCAAAGGACTGAATCCAAGAATACTCTATCCAGCAAGGCTATCATTCAAAATTGAAGGGGAAAAAAGAAGCTTCACAGACAAAAAAAGGCTAAGGGAGTTTATCACCACCAAGCCAGCAATGCAAGAAATGCTAAAGGGACTGGTGTAAAAAGAAGAAATAAAAAGCTCAGAAAGAAAACAGCCACACAAAAAAGAAATGGCTACAAACAAGTACCTTTCAATAATAACTTTAAACGTAAATGGACTCAATGCTCCAACCAAAAGACATCGAGTGGCTGAATGGATAAAAAAAACATGACCCATACATCTGCTGTCTACAAGAGACCCACCTCATTAGAAGGGACTCACACAGACTGAAAGTGAAGGGATGGAAAAATATCTTTCAGGTAAATGGAAAGGAAAAGAAAGCTGGGGTAGCAATACTTATATCGGACAAAATAGACCTCAAAGTGAAGGCCATAACAAGAGATAAGGAAGGCCACTTCATAATACTAAAGGGATCAATACAACAAGAAGATATAACCCTGGTAAACATATATGCACCCAATGCAGGAGCACCCAAATTCATAAAAAAACTCCTGGAAGATATCAAAGGAGAGATTGACAACAATACAATCATAGTACGGGACTTTAATACACCACTGACATCACTGGATAAGTCCTCTAGACAAACAATCAGCAAAGAAACAGCATTCCTAAATGACTCACTAGATCAGATGGACTTAATAGACATCTTCAGAACACTTCACCCCAAAGCCACAGAATATACATTCAACTCTGATGCTCATGGGACATATTCAAAAACAGACCACATATTGGGTCACAAGCACAGTCTCCCCAAATTCAAGAAGATTGAAATCATAAAAAGCATCTTCTCAGACCATGATGGCATAATATTAGAAATAAACTACAATAAAAACAACCCCAAATACTCAAACACTTGGAAGCTGAATAGCATGTTATTAAATATTGATTGGGTTAACAATGAGATCAAGGAAGAAATCAAAAACATCCTGGAAACTAATGACAATGAAAACACAACAATCCAAAACCTATGGGACACAATGAAAGCAGTCCTGAGAGGGAAGTTTATAGCTCTACAGGCCTATCTCAAAAAACAAGAAAAAATGGTAGTAAATCATCTAACTCTACAACTCAAAGAATTAGAAATACAGCAACAAGAAAACCCCAGAGTGAGCAGAAGGAAGGAGATAATAAAGATTAGAGCAGAAATAAATGACATAGAGACCAAAAAAACAATACAGAAAATCAATGAAACCAAGAGCTGGTTCTTTGAAAGGATAAACAAAATTGACAAACCTCTAGCCAGACTCACCAAGAAGCAAAGAGAGAGGACCCAAATAAACAAAATCAGAAACGATAGAGGCGAAATAACAACAGACCCCACAGAAATACAAATAATTGTTAAAAAATACTATGGACAGCTCTACTCCAACAAACTAGACAACCTGGAGGAAATGGACAAATTCCTAGAAAAATACAACATTCCAAAACTCAATCAGGAAGAATCCAAAAATCTCAATAGGCCAATAACTATGGAAGAAATTGAGGCAGTCATCAAAAAGCTTCCAGCAAACAAAAGCCCGGGACCAGATGGCTTCACAGGGGAGTTTTACCAAACATTCAAGGAAGAACTAAAACCTATCCTCCTCAGACTACTACAAAAAATTCAAGAGGAAGGAACACTTCCAAGCTCATTCTATGAAGCCAGCATCACCCTAATACCAAAACCAGGTAAAGACAACACAATGAAAGAGAATTATAGGCCAATATCCCTCATGAACATAGATGCCAAAATCCTCAACAAAATCTTAGCAAATCAGATCCAGCAGTACATCAGAAAGATCATACACCATGACCAAGTAGGATTTATCCCAGGGATGCAAGGATGGTACAATATCCGCAAATCAATAAACGTGATACATCACATAAACAAATTGAAAGAAAAAAACCACATGGTCATATCAATTGATGCAGAAAAAGCGTTTGACAAAATCCAACACCCATTTTTGATAAAAACTCTCAGCAAGGCGGGAGTAGAAGGATCATACCTCAACATAATAAAAGCCATATATGACAAACCCACAGCCAACATCATACTCAATGGACAAAAACTAACACCATTTCCCCTAAGAACAGGAACAAGACAGGGATGCCCACTCTCACCACTCCTGTTCAACATAGTACTGGAAGTATTAGCCATCGCAATTAGGCAAGAAGAAGAAATAAAAGGCATCCAAATTGGAAAAGAGGAAGTAAAACTGTCCTTATTTGCAGACGACATGATATTATACATACAAAACCCTAGAGACTCCATCAAAAAGCTACTAGACTTAATACATGAATTTGGCAATATAGCAGGATACAAAATTAACCCCAAGAAATCCGAGGCATTTCTATACACCAATAGTGAACTTTCAGAAAGAGAGATTATAAAAGCAACCCCGTTTACCATCGCACCAAAAAAATTAAGCTACCTAGGAATAAACTTAACTAAAGAGGTAAAAGACCTCTACTCAGAAAACTACAGGACGTTGAAAAAAGAGATAGAGGAAGACATAAACAGATAGAAGAACATACCATGTTCATGGATTGGTAGAATCAACATCATCAAAATGTCCATAATACCCAAAGCAATCTATAGATTCAACGCAATCCCCATTAAATTACCAACGGCATACTTCAGAGATCTAGAACGAACTCTCCAAAAATTCATCTGGAATAAAAAAAGACCTCGAATAGCTGCAGCAATCCTGAGAAAGACCAAAGTAGGTGGGATCTCAATACCAGATATCAAGATGTATTACAAAGCCACTGTTCTCAAAACTGCCTGGTACTGGCACAAGAACAGGCATATAGATCAATGGAATAGAATAGAGAGCCCAGAAATCGGCCCGAACCAATCTGCTCAATTAATATTTGACAAAGGAGGCAAGAACATACAATGGAGCCAAGATAGTCTTTTCAATAAATGGTGTTGGGAAAATTGGACAGATATATGCAAGAAAATGAAACTAGATCACCAACTTACACCATACACAAAAATAAACTCAAAATGGATAAAGGACTTAAATGTACGACAGGAAACCATAAAAATTCTAGAAGAATCCAAAGGCAACAAAATCTCAGACATATGCCGAAGCAATTTCTTCACTGATACAGCTCCTAGGGCACTTGAAACTAAAGAGAAAATGAACAAATGGGCCTACATCAAAATAAAAAGCTTCTGCACAGCAAAAGAAACCATCAACAAAACAACGAGAAAACCCACTGCGTGGGAAAACATATTTGCCAATGTCATATCTGATAAGGGCCTAATCTCCAAAATTTATAGGGAACTCATACAACTTAACAAAAGGAAGATAAACAATCCAATCAAAAAATGGGCAAAGGACCTAAATAGACACCTTTCAAAAGAGGACATTCAGAAAGCCAAGAGACATATGAAAACATGCTCAAAGTCACTAATCATCCGAGAGATGCAAATCAAAACAACAATGAGGTACCATCTCACACCTGTCAGAATGGCTATCATCAAAAAATCAACAAACGACAAGTGCTGGCAAGGATGTGGAGAAAAAGGAACACTTGTGCACTGCTGGTGGGAATGCAGACTGGTGCAGCCACTATGGAAGACAGTATGGAGTTTCCTTAAAAAACTGAAAATGGAACTCCCATTTGACCCTGTGATCCCACTTCTAGGAACATATCCCAAGAAACCAGAAACAACAATCAGAAAGGATATATGCATCCCTATGTTCATGGCAGCACAATTCACCATAGCTAAGATCTGGAAACAGCCTAAGTGCCCATCAGTAGATGAATGGATTAGAAAACTGTGGTACATCTACACGATGGAATACTATGCTGCTCTAAAAAGGAAGGAACTCTTATCATTTGCAACGGCATGGATGGAACTGGAGAGCATTATGCTAAGTGAAATAAGCCAGTCAATGAAGGAAAAACACCACATGATCTCACTCATTCATGGATAATAGAGACCATTATAAACTTTTGAACAATAATAGATACAGAGGCAGAGCTGCCTCAAACAGATTGTCAAACTGCAGCGGGAAGGCCGGGGAGGGGTGGGGGGCAGGAGGGAGGGGGGTAAGAGATCAACCGAAGGACTTGTATGCATGCATATAAGCATAACCACTGGACATAAGACACTGGGGGGTAGGGGTAGGGGAGGCCAGGGGATTGTCAAGGGCGGGGGGGAAAAGGAGACACATATGTAATACCCTTTGTAAGACTGTAAGCAATAAAATAAAAAATAAAAAAAAACAATAAAAAAAAGACACGCACGACACACAGACAGACCCTGAGAGGGGTAAGCAAGGCTCATGCTCCCTAAAGGCGACGTCCAAAGCGAGGAGGTGAGACCACCCCGTGACGGCCGCCACGCTGTGCCCCTGAGCGCTCTAAATGCCCTGCCCGTAGGCGAACAGGACAGTCTTTTCTGGGACGGACCAGGGAGCCGCTGGCAAACGCTCCTCCCGCCATCTGCCTGCCTGGCCACCACAGACCTGGCCTCTCCCCCCCTGAACTCCCCTGGGCCCCCGGGGCCCCCCGGGCAGTGGCTGCTGCCCCCCCAGGCAGCAGGCAGGTGAGGCAGCAGGAGGAGGCAGGTCTCGGGCGTCGCCAGGGTCCGCAGGAGCCCTCGTGCTCGCTGTCTGCCGTGGGCCCACCTGTCCCCGAGCGCCCACCTGTCCAGGTCCTCGTCCAGGGACTCGTAGGAGCTCTCGTAGCACTCGATGCGCCTGAGGAAGTCCTCCGCGGCCTCCTCGCCATCGCGGTTGACGTAGTCAGGGCTGCCCAGCTTCACTTGCTGCCGCCGGGCACAGAGCAAGGCCATCAGGCCAAGGAGAGGGCTGGGGGGAGTCGGGGCTGGGGGCCACCCCAGGGGGCTGGTCCCATCAGGAAGGCGCAGTGGCTCCTGGTGCTGAGAGAGTGTGACTGGGCACCTGAGGTGGAGCCCTCATCTCCGTGGGACAGGGAAGGGGGAGGGGAGGCCAGGGGGGAGGGGGAGGGGGAGAGGAGGCGGGGGGGGGGCGGCCAGAGGCCCCTCCCCACCTGAACCATCTCCTCACACCCAGATGCTCCTTCCTTGTGGAGGGAGGGACAGGGAAGAGGAGCCAAGTCTCTTTCTCAAAATGTAAATATCGCCCCAGCCCGGCCAGTGTGGCTCAGTGGTTGAGCCTCGCCCTATGAACCATGAGGTTGCAGTTCCCGGTCAGGGCACAGGCCCGGGCTGTGGGCTCGAACCCCATTGGGGGTGTGCAGGAGGCAGCCGATTAATGGTTCTCTCCCATCATGATGTTTCTCTCCCTCTCCCTCTCCTTTCCTCTCTGAAATCAATAAAAATATATATATTTTTAAATGTCACCCCCCCACCCAGGGGCTGATGCCTCCCTCCACGTCCGGGGACTATGAGGGGAAGGGAGAGGGGGGCAGAATGAATGCCAGCATGCCACAAAGCCCCCCAACATGAATGGCCCGGGGCGGGGGCGGGGGCGGGGGGCCCAGGCTCCCCTGACCAGCACCCTACTGTCCCCCGCCCCCACCCCGAGGTCAGGAAGAGCGAATGAGGCCCAGGCACCAGCCCGCGTGTGGGCGGGGGGGGGGGACCGACTGCCCCGCGGAGGTCAGGCTCTCACCACGATGTTGGCCGCGATGACCTCGGGATCCACACAGATGGACTCAACGAAGAAGGTCTGCAGCCGGGACCAGGGCGAGGGCAGGAGGGGGGACCCGGGTCATCAAGGCGGGCTGGCCCCACAGAGCGCCCGCCCTGCCCAGGGCCCCACAAGCAGCCGAGGCCCAGACCCTCCTTCTGGGGCTGCCCTGTCCGAAGCCCCGGCCCATCAGGAGGCCGGGAAAGGGGCCCGGAGACCCAGCAAGGACGTGAGCCCCCAGGTCTCACCTTGTAGCCGTTCTGCTCCCCAAAATTAAAGATGGTCGCCCTCCGCTCGCGGGTGGTGTTTGTTGCATCGAAAACCTAGGACCAAACTGGGTTAACGCGCCTCTGGCCCCGGAGACGGTGGAGGCTACTGGACATCCCACTGGGCCGCCGCTGCCCCGGCCAGTCTCCTCGCACCCGCGCCCGCACCCGGGAGCTGGCAGGAGGGGGTGCTCTGCTCCCGCAGGGCAGGGCCGCCAACCCTCCCGGGGGGACGCTCTCAGCAGCTGCTCTGCTCACGCTGACCCACAGGAAGTCCCGTGAAACTAGTTAATCCTGGAGAACTGAACCCATGTTGACCTCCAGCCGACCCTGAGACCCCAGTAAAAAGGAGAGGGGAGGGCAGGGGAGGGGACATGATCCCTCCGGCCTGTGTGTGTGTGTGTGTGTGTGTGTGTGCGTGTGTGTATGTGTGTGTGTGTGTATGTGTGTGTGTGGGGGGGGGGCCTAGGGCCTTGGACAAGCACTCAGAGGCAAAGGCAGCCACAGCCCAGCCCCTCCCAGCCCCTGGCGCCCCCCCCGCCCAGCGGCTGCACGTTCTCCAGGGGCTGCCCCTGGCGCGTGGTCACACACCCGCCTTCCCTCTAGAGGCCCATGAGCAACAGGGACGGATGCGTGTGGCTCCCACATGTCCCCCCGATGTCCCCGGGTGTCACACTCACCGCCACGTGTCCCCCCTCCTCACTAAGGAACCGCCGGACGTCACGGAGAGCGGCCAGGGCGCACTGCCTTCCGGGAGGAGACATGGGGTCAGCCAGTGCCCCCTTGGCCACAGGAGGGTCAGGGACCATCCCACGCAGTGGGGGGTGGACCTGAGCGCTAGGAAAGCCCCTGAAGCACAGAGCTGGGGAGCCTCCAGGTTGGTGAGGGCGTGGGGGTGCCGCCCCGAGGGCTGGGAGCTCCGCCCTGCCCTGCCCTGCCCCTGTCCTGCGGGGCACCTCTTCCCTTTGGCTGTTGTCTCCCTCCCTCCCTCCCTTCCTTTCTTTTTTAAAATATTTTTTATTGATTTCAGAGAGGAAGGAAGACGAAGAGAGAGAAACATCAAGGATGAGAGAGAATCATGGATCAGCTGCCTCCTGCACGCCGCCTGCTGGGGACTGATGGCACAACCCGGCCTGTGCCCTTGACTGGAATCGAACCCGGGACCCTTCAGTCCACAGGCACCCAACCGGCCAGGGCTGGCTGCTGTACCCTTTACCATGAACCCGTAAACGCAAGTGACGTGTGGTCCTGAGCGCGGGAGCGCGTCTAGCCAGTCCCTGGACCTGGAGAGGCTGAGGAACCCCGGTACAGGGCCCGGAGGAGCAGGGGCGCCCGGGGCTCTGGCTGCTGCTTGCAGAGGGGGCTGGGGACTGAGCCCTCAGCCTTGGGAGCTGACCTGACTCGGGGGAGTGTCAGGCCTGAGTGAACTGGATTGTGGGACATCATGGCGTCTGAGCAAACACCGTGTCCCCAAGCCCTCGTGTGTGGTGACTGGGTGCGCACACGTGTACACGGGGTATGTGTGCATGCACCCACACACGCAAGGGTAGGTTTCAGTGTGTGTGTGTAATACAGGACATGGGTGTGTAAACGCCGCCTGGGTACACAGGCACCGGGTGACCAGCCCCCGTAACCCTGGCCCGCGTCCGTGAGGAGCTCCTGCTGCAGGAATCTGTGCCTCGGGCCGGAGCCGGGGGCAGAGGACGCCAGGAAGCCTGGTTTCCTCTGGACTTGAACCCTTTGCCGTGAGAAACCTCAGCCAAGAGGGCCGCAGGCTGAGGTCCCAGCAAATCACTGACCCTGAACCTGGGGGGCCCTGGGGACCCCACACCGTCTGAGTGCCTGAGTGTGAGAACGTCTCCTCGGTGACCCCGAGCGCCTCTGTGTGTGGTGAGGTACGCAGGTATGTGCGTGTGTGTCCTGTGTGCTGTGGTGGCAGCACACGTATGAGTGAGGTGTCCACATGTGTGCTTACTCACGTGGGCAGTGCGACTGTGCACACATGGACACGTGTGTGTGTGTGTGTGGACCCATGTGTGCCCATGGCGTGTGTCGATAACTCGGCATCTTGTGTCAGACGTCTGAGCCTGTTCCCCCTGTACAGTGGGGGAGGGTGACAATGGGCCTCACGCCCAGCGCACAGTAGGAGCTCAAATCTCAGCCCCTCCCTTCTGTCTGGGTCGATAGCACCAGAGCCCAAACTGAGCGTCACCCACAATTCGGCCACAAAGGCCTGAATGTCGGCCCTTCCTGGTGCAGCAGCCTGGCCCCACCCACTTCCCCAAGAGCAGAGGCCACGGTGGGGCGCCCTGGCCGCCCAGTGTCCACACCCAGCTGGCGTCTGACCCGGTGACCAGGCTGTGCTGGGCTTGGGGAGGTCAGTGGGGCTCGGCCACCCTCTGCTCAGCGCCCTGCTCCAGTGCTGGGCCAAGACCCAGGGCGAGGAAGCTGCTCGCGCCTCAGCTGACGCCTGCCCCGGGAGCAGCAGCTCCTCACACCACCAGCCGGTGTCGGTGCCCCGAGCGCGAGTCTCCGGAGGAAGGACTCAGGTCGGGGGGTGCGGGGGGGGTGCAAATGCCCATCGCAAGAACAACAGCAGGAGGGTGAACGTCACCCAGCCCTTCACAGCTGAGCCAGGGTCTCGGGCACCCGCCAGGCACCAGCTGACCCCCCTCCAGAGGTCCCGGGAGGGCTTATCCTGGGGCCAGCTCTGGGCCTGGGCCTGGTCCTTCCGGCTTTGCGAGCTGCCCCCCCCCCCCCCAGGCTGTACCTGCACCCACTCGGCTTCCTCCCTCCCAGAGGCTGTCCCCAAGGAGGGCGCCTTGACCTGCCCTGGCTAAGCCTCGGCCACCTCCCTGAGGCCCTGTCCTCCCCCCCCGCCCCCCCTCCCCCCGCCAGGATGTCCTCATCACCACCAGGCCAGCACCAAGACACCACACCCTCCCCCTGCCCCCTCACACCCAACCACCAGCCCTGAGGCCGACAGACCAGCCCGGGCTCAGCCCATGGGCAGGCGAGGCCAGGGCTCAGGAGCAGCTCTGTCCTGACCAGCAACCGGGCTCCACAGGCTCCTGGCCCTTTGTACACGTGTGCACACGTGCACATGCGTGTGCATGCACACACATGTGCACAAACCACGCGTGCACGCATGTGCACACACACGCACATGCACACACTCACTCACTTTCGGATCCTCAGGCCCTCTTCGTTATCTGGGAGGAAAAACTCAAAAGACCTGTACGTCTGGACCATGTCCCGGCGATACTGGCCCACGTTGAACTCTGGAGGAGAGAAGGCAGGCTCGGCTCTCCCACAAAGCAGCCCTCCCACGCCGACCTCGGCCCACCCGGCCCAGCCCCACCCAGTCCAGTCCCCTCTCCTCCCTCTCCCACTCGGCCCCCAGCCCCTGGAGAGCCAGCCGAGCCTCACCCCGTGTGGGCACGCCGATCCAGTTCAGGTAGCGCGTCAGCTTCTTGGAGATGTAGGTCTTGCCCCGGGCGGGCAGGCCCACCATGACGATGAGCGTGGGGCAGTTGGTCATGCACACTGGAAGGCGAGGGCGCAGGTCAGACGGGCCCTCAGCCTCGGGGCACAGGGTGGCGTCACCCCCTACGGTCCCTGAGCAGCCCAGGCCGGTCTCACGCCACCGCCAGCATGCCTGCCCCCCGGGGGTCCTGCACCATCACCCCACACGTGCCTCTGTGCCATGCGGGTTGTCTTGAGCAAAAGGCAACTTTAGCCACAGACTCAAGAACCTTATGCCCAGCCCGGAGCTACGGAGAAGAAACTGACTTCCAGGCCATGCCCACGGCTGCTACCAGAGGGCACCTCTTTGACCTCCACGGGGCGGGGCACACCCTGCTGACCAAGGGGGGCTCTTCTCCCGCAACCGCCTCTGAAGCTCCGAGGCGCAGGACCGAGCCCGGCTCAGGGCGTCTCATTCCCTCAACCCCTCCCGGGCTCTGAACTGCTCCCACGCGGGGCTCCCGTACGCGTGTGCCAAATTCTTCTTGGAAATCAATGAAAATCTATTTAATAAAAACACAAACCACAGGAACCAGGCCTCCCTGCCCCTGCCCCCCGGGCAGGGCTGGCCCTGGGCCACGGCTGCAGCCTGCGGGGCGCTGCAGGGTCAGGTGAAGGCAGCTGCAGCCACGCGGCTAAGAAGGGCCCGCCGGTCCCTGCACCAGGCCAGCTGTGGAGGCTCTTCTGCAAGCTTCCTCATCTTGCTCACTGTCCGGGGATGCCCTCCTGCCCTCCCCTGGGGCTCCCTGTTTGTCACATTGGCCTGGCACTTGGGGCCCCTCTGGCCATCTGCTGTCCGCAGGGCCCGCCTGGGACAGAGGTGCCTCGGCACCCCGACTCCCAAGGGCCTCGGTGCCGAGGGCAGCTGTGCCCTCCGCCGGGCGCTGCCAGGGCCGCGCAGGGGCACCGCTTAATTTGGTTATTTTCTCATGCTGATCTGTTTCGTGCCTGTGATTATTACACCGGCCGATGGGCCTTAGGGCAGAGGAGTTGGCTCCGCCCCAGGCCTGCCTGGGCCCCAGCAGATGCGGGGACCTCGCCAGCCTGACCTGCTGGGCATCACCAGATAGGAAGCCAAACCTGCCACACCCCAGCTGCCACAGATAGGCGTTCCCATGGCCAGCAGGGCAGCCAGGACCTCGCGGGAGGCAGCGCCCCGGTTGCCACCCGGGGGGCCAGTGGCTGCTCCGCATTCCTCCCGGTTCAGACCCTGCTCCCCTTCCCAGGTTCATGTCTCTTCATCGCACAAAGCCCAGCTCCCAAATGCTTCTTCCCCTAGACCAGTGCCGGGAGCTGGTCCATCCTTGCTGTTTCAAGGGACCTGGCATATATGGCATACTGTTCTTAATATGTTTGCTCACCTTCTTGGCACTATGTGTTTTAACCAAGGTCACCTCTCTGAGAAAGGTTGTTTCCCCAGGTAGGGATTTTCCCCTGAAGTTAGGGAGGGAATAAAACCCCTTAACTAAGTGCCAGGCCAGTAATTAATCACTTTAACTATGAACAATCATGCTTAAGCTACATAATCTTTACTCCCTGGAATGGAGATAAGAAATGCCCTAACCTTTGTGATAGAGATTGATAGGATTGGAATCAACTGGTATAAATACAGATGTAACAACACAGAACTTAGAAGACAGAACTTAGAAGACAGAACCTACACACAGAACTTAGAGATAGAACCTAGAAGACAGAACCTGGAGAACCTGGAATTGATTCTTAGATTGAGAAGATGTTCCAGAACCTAGAGACAGAAGAACTTCGCTGGAGAGAACATGGCAAAAGATCCTGGACTGAACCTGACTACAGAAATTGGCAAGAGAACCTGACTAGAACCTGGTGACTGAACCTGGCTGGAGAACCTGGACAGAACCTGGCTGGAGATCCTAACCAGAACTTCGCTGGAGATCCAGACCAGAACTTGGCTGGAGATCCTGGCTAGAGATCCTGGCTAGGCTGCTGATCAACTGAACGCTGTCTCTGTGTCATTCCTTCTTCGCCGACTCCATCAACACCTTTGGGGACCCCTGGACCTGCTGGGGTTGGACCCCGGCAGACCAGTGGTCGGCAAACTCATTAGTCAACAGAGCCAAATATCAACAGTACAACGACTGAAATTTCTTTTGAGAGCCAAATTTTTTAAACTATATAGGTAGGTACATTGTTATTAACTTAATTAGGGTCCTCCTAAGGCTTAGGATGAGCCACACTCAAGGGGCCAAAGAGCTGCATGTGGCTCGTGAGCCGCAGTTTGCCGACCACGGCCCTAGACCAGTGGTTCTCCACCTTCTGGCCCTTTAAATACAGTTCCTCATGCTGTGACCCAGCCGTTAAATTACTTTTGTTGCTACTTCATAACTGTAATGTTGCTACTGTTATGAATCGTCATGTAAATATCTGATATGCAGGATGGTCTAAGGCGACCCCTGTGAAAGGGTCGTTCGACCGCCAAAGGGGTCGCAACCCACAGATTGAGAACTGCTGCCCTAGACCTTCCTCAGGCTCCTCTCCCTCCATCCCACCACCTCACCAAGGAGTCTGAGCCCCACACAGCGCCAGGAGGAGAGCAGGCGGGCGCGGGGCCTGGCACGGACGGGTGCTCACAGGTGATGGGCAGGAGGGAGGAGGAAAGCATCTCAAACCCAACAGGGTGAGGCTGCCAGAGGCCGAGACCAGAGACCCAGGCGACGCCCACAGGGTGGACCCTGCAACAGCCCTCGCCCGCGTCCCGTCCCGTCTGCCACCAGTCAGCGCCCATCAGGACGCTGTGGGGGCCAGAGGGGAAGGGTCAGGACACAGCCCCCTCCCTGGCCCCTGGACAGACACCAAACCATAGAACGCCGGCCGCACGCGACCCAGCACAGCTTTCAGCTGGTCTCACCCCAGAAGCCTCAGGCCCTGGACGAGGTGCAGCTGCAGTGGACGGACAGCTGGCCCAGTGCGGGGGACCTGCGGGCCCTTCTTAGCCGCGTGGCTGCAGCTGCCTTCACCTGACCCTGCAGGGCCCCGCAGGCTGCAGCCGTGGCCCAGGGCGAGCCCTGCCTGGGGGGCAGGGGGCAGAGAGGCCTGGTTCCTGTGGTTTGTGTTTTTATTAAATAGATTTTCATTGATTTCCAAGAAGAAGGAGAGAGTGAGAGAGAGAAACATCGATATGAGAGAGAATCATGGATCGGCTGCTCCCTGCACACCCCACACCGGAGATGGAGCCCGCAATCCAGGCATGTGCCCTGACCGGGAATCAAACGGTGACCTCCTGGCTCATAGGTCGACGCTCAACCCCTGAGCCCCGCCGGCCGGGCTGGGCCCCGTGCTGACCGCCCTCCCTGTAGAGTCCAGCACTATCTCCCAGTGAGGGCACCTCGGGGAAGCGGTGCCCCTGCACGGCCCTGGCAGCGGCAGGCGGAGGACACAGCTGCCCCTCAGCACCGAGGCCCTTGGGAGTCGGGGTGCCGAGGCACCTCTGTCCCAGGCGGGCCCTGCGGACAGCAGATGGCCAGAGGGGCCCCAGGGAGACCCAGGGGAGGGCAGGAGGGCATCCCCCAGACAGTGAGCAAGATGAGGAAACTTGCAGAAGAGCCTCCGCTGGCCAAGGGGGGAGAAAAACAAGTTAGGCAAGGCCCTGTGTCCCGAGGGCCATCGCTAGGGCCCGCTGTTTGCTCAACTCCTGGCCGGTTGGCAGCTCTGGAGCAACCAAGCAACCGAGGAACCTCAGGGCAGGGCATCGCTACTGCTGGTGGGGAGGGGGAGACCTGCTCCCTTCGAGGAGGCCTCCCCCCTCCCCCCCCACACCGCGCTGTCCCTGGAGGGTCCTCCCGCAGCCTCGGGACTAGGATCCTGCATGCCCTCTGCACGTCCATCTGCCCAGAGGGCCCTGGCCGCCCCCCTGGTGTTCGCGGCAGCCCCCGCCCCTGCATGGCCTGGGGGGCGGAAGGGCAGCGAGTCCAGGCTGGGCGAAAGCCAGAGGAATACGTTACCTATCACCTCTGCTCCTCAAGATAAGCGTCCAAGGAAATGACTCAAAAGAAAAACCAAAGTACAAGTGTCTTCACAACAGCTCTGCCTCCAGCAACCAAACACGGGAAACCCCAGCACGACCGCGTGGGGCACAGCGCGCGGACCGGTGAGCCGGGCGAGCAGCTCTGGGCCTCAAGGACCCTCACGTTGAGCAACAGGACAGCAGGACACGCTGTTCAGGACACTGGCGTGTGCGGAAGGAAGTCTGAGGACATGCCACTCAGCTTCCTGTTCCTGCGCAATCGCTCTAGGCCATGGAGGCCTGGCCCTGGCCGGTGTGGCTCAGTGCATAGAGCATCGGCCTGGGTACCGACGGGTCCCGGGTTCGATTCCGGTCAAGGGCATGTACCTCAGTTGCAGGCTCCTCCCTGGTCGGGGCTCATGCAAGAGGCAACCCGTCGATGTGTTTCTCTCCCATGGATGTTTCTCTCTGTCTTTCCCTCTCTCTTCCACTCTCTGAAAATCAATGGAAAAATATCCTCGGGTGAGGCAAGAATGAATGAATATTGGGACAAAGATAATGATAAAGTCCGTCATTAAAAAAAAAAAAAAGGCCCGGGGAGGCCGAGCAGGCGAGAGGCCTGAGACAAGCCTGGTGCTGGGCAGTGGCCACTTCCTGCAGGCGCCACCCCGGGGGCAGCCACGAGTCCCCGACGTGAGTCCAGACGGGTTCCTGAGCTGCACCTGCTCGACACCCCGGGCGGGCGGGGACGGAACAGCTCCTCAAAGCTAAGCGCCGGGTCTGTCCTGTTCAGGGGGGACAGATGGCCAACTCCCCCACCCGCCCGGCCACCCCCGCCACGTGCAGACCCAGCAAGTCCTCCACCTTCTGCCTAAGAAGAGCCATCAGACAAGCACTGTCCTTTCTGCCCTGCTCCCTGAGTCCCCCCCCTTTTTTTTAATTACATATTTTTTTATTTCAGAGAGGAAGGGAGAGGGAGAGGGAGAGATAGAAACATCAATGATGAGAATCATTGATTGGCTGCCTCCACTGGGGATCGAGCCTGCAACCTGGGCATGTGCCCTTGACCGGAATTGAACCCAGGACCCTTCAGTCCACAGGCCGACACCCTATCCACTGAGCCAAACCGGCTAGGGCCTGAGTCCCCTCTTCATCTCTGCCTCACCCACCCCCAAAACTCCCCCAGGTCTGAGCTAAGGGGTCAGTGACGAGGGAGGCAACCTCAGGTGCAAATGGAGGAGGAACTAATGAGGAAGACGGGATGGAGGGGCAGGGACACCCCGCAGACAAGCGGCCTCGGGTGCCCGGAGAGCTGGGAGACCACGGCCACGGCAGACCAGCCGGGAGCCCCGCGCCCTCGTCTCCACAAACCCCGGTGCCTGCCCCGGTGCCTGATCGAATCAACGTCCGCCCACCCCCGCCCTGAGGCCGTCCCCCGTCCCCGGGGCCCCCAACCTCGCCATGATCCATTCTGCGAGGGAGGGTGAAATGCCGCACGTACAGGTTCCCGGTTCACTCCCTGCTGAGTCACTCCCTGCTGTGAGCTCCGGGACCCTAACCGGGCCTAACCCCGCACCGGCTGCGGGCGTCATCTTGGCCTCTGGAGTGCCAGTGCCGCCTCCTGTGCTGGGCCGGCCCATGTCCCCCGCTGTGCGCCGGAGGCAGTGATGCCATGAGCCCCTCTCTCAGGCCAGAGCCAGGTATTTTGTTTGTTTGTTTTAATATTTTTTATTGATTTCAGAGAGGAAGGGAGAGGGAGCAAGAGAAACATCGATGATGAGAGAGAATCATTGACCGGCTTCCTCCTGCACGCCCCGCACTGGAGATCGAGCCCACAACCGGGCACATGCCCTTCAGGGAATCGAGCCCTGACCTGGTTCACAGGTCGACGCTCAACCACTGAGACACGCCGGCCGGGCCAGAGCCAGGTTTTAATCACAGACTTGGAGCCTGGAGAAATATAGACCCACCCAAGTGGCCGAAGGACCTAGGCCGGTCCCCTCCCTCGAGGCCGCAGGTCCCCTCCCGTCTGTGCTGCGGGGGTGGGGGGTGGGGGGGGTGTCTCAGAATTGCTGCTTCCAGCCCTGACTGCAGAGCGATGAGCGGTGAAATGACGAGACGGCCGGCTACCCTGCTGAGAGCCCCCTCGTCCCGAAGCTCGCGGCAGCTGCGCGGAGCAGGCTGGTGACAGCTCGGACCCGGGCCTGGAGGAGTCGCCCTGCCCGAGGCCACAAGCTGGGCCCTGATGCAGCCGAGCGTTCCTGCCTCCAGAGTCCAGGCTCTTCCTCCTCCCCTTGGAGTGAAACAGCCCTCACACAGACGGCCAGGAGCAGGGCCTCCACCGAGTGCCGAGCGGAGTGGGCGTGACCGAGCCCCTGAGGACACAGAGCCTGGGACGGAAACTCTGGCCCAGGACTGAAGGCAGGGTCACAGGCTCCGTGCCCCACCAGGGCCACCCCCTGCCAGGACCCACAGTGTGGTAAGAGACACACTCCCCCAGGTCTCACACCATGTCAGAGCCAGGCCCAGCACAGCCCTCTCTCCCTCCCAGGTCACGGCCAAGCAGAGGTAGGGGGCAGGGAGACCCCGCACACCACCCAGCCTCCTGATGGCCATGTCCGTTTCTGTGCCAGGAGTTGGCACAGATGTTCTCTGAGGTCCTTGCCAACGTGCACCTTCTCCACAACGCTTCCGTGACTCCTAAAACAGACCTTTTCTTTCTCTTTGTAATAAAGAGGCTGCCCAAGACCCCGGAAGGTGAGCTTAACGATGACATGCATCTCAGCGTGTCTCCCAGATGTTTCACCAGTAAGTTTACCTTCTACCCACGACACAAACACGGGCCCGCATGGCACAGTGCCCTCACGGCCCCTGTTCTGGTCAAACCCGCACCTCCCTGGAATTACCCCCAAAACTTGGCTGTAGGTGAGGAGGTGGGTGATTAGGCCCGGGGCGCCCCGCCCCTCCTCCCACCGGAGGGCGAGCTCGCTCTCGGGCCTTTGAACGCGCTGGGCTCAGAGAAGCCAAGCAGTCCCTCTAGGGCCAGCCCAGCTCGGACGCGGCCGGCCACCGGCCCACGCTCTCTGGCCAGCAGAGAGGACAGGGCAGGGGCTCCAGGTCCCCCTGGCCTGAGCGGTGGGGGGACAGGAGTGTGCGGGGCCGGGGCCGGACCTGGCCCCCAGGAGCCGAGACTTCCCCGCAGACCGGCCTCCGCCTCCAGCTCTGCCACCCCTGTCCTCGCCCACCACCCGCTCTGCTCCCCTCCCACCAGCCCGGCAGCCTCAGCCTCACCTGTCCCGGTTCCCCGCGGTTCCCGGCCCCTCGCCGCGACAGACCACTGCCCAGGCCGCCCCATCCATCACCCGCGCACCGTCCCCCGCGCTCCCCGCGGACCCCGCCTCACCGCGGCGCTGGCAGGCGTGCAGGGCGGGCCGCCCGTTGCTGTACGGCATCCAGATCTTCTTCAGGGGGTTCTGCGTCAGCTCCCGCGGGGAGGCCATCCCGGAGCCGCGAGCAGTCGGACCGCACGGCTCCCACCCGAGCAGCCCCGCCAGCTCGGGCCACCGGAGGCCCCGCCCCTCGGCCCGCCCCTCTTCAAGCTGCCGTGACGCACGTCCCACTCCCAAGGCCCCGCCCAGGACGCGTAGGCCCCGCCCCAACTGGAGAGGGCGTGGCCCAGGACCACGCATGCGCAAATCGCCCGCCTGCAGGTTCGGACGCCGCAGGCCCGCCCTCCCTGCCGGGATCCCGGGTGCGCATGCCCAGCGCACTCAGGCCCGCGTCCCGGCTGGTACTGGCCCCACTTCGGGTGCAGGAGCCCAGCACGCGCACCCTGGCCGCGCAGGTGTGTACGGGTCTCTCCCAGGGCCTCGCTCCGGGCAATCGCCGCCTCGCCCCCAGGGCACCCGGGTCCGCTCCTCACCACGCAGGACCTCAGGGTTCCAGGAGGGCGGGGTTTCCACGCCAGGGGGCGGGGCTTACGGGACCCGCGGGGCTTGATTGGTCAGGACCAGGCGGACGGCCTCGGCGCGACTGATCACTGGCCCGACGTCTGGGCTGTCAGCCCCGCTGCGCCCTGCACCCGCCCACGGGAGCGTCCTGCTCCTCTCGAGGGGCTGGAAAGGCCTTGCTCTCGGGACAAGGCCCAGGACGCAGGTCGGAGCGGATGGTGTTTCTCTCTCCGCCTTGGCCGCTGAGCAGCTCGGGCTACACAGGGTCCGCCTGGAGCAAGTGCGTGGGAGCTGGCAACCAAGCTCTCCGGGCACTCGCTGGAGGTGGCACATGCCCGTCATCCATCTTACAAGGGTCTGGCCCCCGTGGCTCCGTGGCTGAGCGTCGACCCAGGAACCAGGAGGTCACGGTTCGATTCCCGGTCGGGCACAGGCCCGGGTTGCGGGCTCGATCCCCAGTGTGGGGCGTGCAGGGGGCAACCGGTCCATGATTCTCTTATCGTTGATGTTTCTCTTCCTCTCCCTTCCTCTCTGAAATCAATAATATATATATATATTTAAATCTTACAAGATTCTGGTATAGATGAAATGTGTCCATGTCTGAAAAATCCACTCTCAAGCACATTCATGTTACCATTTATTATATGCTTTGTCTACTGCAGTGGTTCTCAACCTTCTGGCCCTTTACATACAGTTCCTCATGTTGTGACCCAACCATAAAATTATTTTCGTTGCTACTTCATAACTGTAATGTTGCTACTGTTATGAATTGTAATGTAAATATCTGATATGCAGGATGGTCTTAGGCGACCCCCTTTGGGGGTCGCGACCCACAGGTTGAGAACCGCTGGTCTGCCTCTCAAATCGCAGTGGAGGCCAGGGGCGAGGCGGAAAGACAGAAGTCCAGAAACCCTGGCCCCTCCCCTGTCTGCAAGCTTTGGACTCTTTCTGCCCTGGGGCCCCTGGGGCCCATCACACTGCCCTCTAGCGCGGGCATCCACAACCCCCTTGACCAAGCACTGCATCCTCAAGTTCTCTCTGCCCCAGGGGTGCCTGGCCAGGACCAGAAGCTAGGGGCCAACCGCAGCACCCCTCCCCCTGCCCTCCTGGCCACACCCCTGCCTGGCCTTAGTTTTCCAAATTCCCACCCAGCTCTTCAGAGCCTGGCCAGGACCTTAAGATGCCCGCTACAGATGGCCTGCCCACTTCCCAGGGAATGAAGGTTCAGGAGATACACCTGCCAGGAGCCCACCTGGCCGCTCCCTGAAACCAGCTCTGGCTGCCTCCCCCGGATGCCCTCCGGGTCTGGGACGGATCCGGCCACTTCCCCTTCCCCCGCCCTCTGCTGTGCCGCCCCAGCTCCCTCCACCTCATGCCTGGCAGCTGTGAGCACACCCGTGGGTGTGGGTGGCTCCTGGGAGCAGGACACCCCTTGTGACTTCCCTGCTGCTTCCTACTCCTCGACAGCCACTCATCCGTTCCTGACACAGCCAGCCTCCTCTGCCAGCCCCGGCCAAGGTCATCCCGGGGCCACCCTGGCCTCAGAGACTGTCACATAGGCCCACACCCTCTCCAGCACCCAGCGCTCACTGCAGAGGCGGCTGCCTCGAACATCACGGACACCCAGCACCGCCTGCCCTTGCCCCCCACCCCCACGGGATATCAGTCAAAGGCTCCGGGTAAAGGGCAGCCAGGGCAGGGCGGGAGGCCAGGGCCATGTCTGGGCAGCCACCTCCACACCCAGAGTATGGGCCTGGCTTCCAAGGAAATGCAAAAGCTCTCCACCTCCCACTCTTCCCCAAACAGCCTGACCCTGGGTTGACTCAGACATACCCTCCCAGGTCCCTGCACGCAGTGAGGGTCACAGATCAATGCAGGAGAAGGCTGGGCCCCTTCCCAAGGCCAGGGTCCCCCTGCAGCCCTCAGAGCATCCCCTCCCACTCCTCGCAGCCACTCCCACTGCCACACCTGCCTCCCCCCCACACACACCCGCTGAAGTGCTCTCCTGCTTCCTCACCCTCAGCCTCACTGGTGCCCTCCTGGCTTTTGCCCCCTCGGCCATGCCAAAGTGAGCCAGCTGTCCCGGCCCAGGGGTGGGATGTGTGCTGATGTCAGTGGGCCCTCGTGTGTGAGCATGTCCGGCTCAGTCTCCCCACAGGGACGCCCCCTCGGCCCTGGTTGCCTCCTGGGGTGCCCGCTGCACTGCCCACTGGGCCTCCCAGTGCCCCAGGCTACGAGCAGTGGGGTGGCCTCAAGCCTCAAACTCTTCCATCCTGACTGCTGACCAGCCCTGGCCAACCACCAAACCAGCCTTTGCAGCAGGAAGGCCAGGGACCTCGGTGACCACCACACAGACCCGCACGTCCACGCGTGAAAGCTGCAGGTGCACACGCACCGACGAGCCCGCGTCCAGGCCCTGCTCTCTGCGCCCTCCGCCTTCCTCCCCTTCCTCCTCTCCCTCGGCCGCCTCCGGGAGGTTTGGAGGGCTCCCAGGAGTCCCGGCTCCCTCCGGCCACTTCCGGCCAAGGAGCACCCCGGTGACTCCTGGGTCCAGAGCTCACAGAGGGCCTGAGGCCACTTGGAGGCATGCAGCCATGTGACGGAGCAGCCTGGGGCCCTGGCCAGCACTGGCTGGTTCCAGTCCGGCACACAGTAGGTGCCCAAAGGACTTAGGAGCCGCCAGGGACCCAGGGAGGCTCACGCAGGGCAGAGCACACAATAGGTGCTTACTCCACTCAGGATGGCCCCCAGCAGGTGTCCTAAAAATGCGGTTTAAGCGCTAAAGCCAAATCATATGAAAAACTTCCCAAATGAGCCTCAGGACCTCCCCAAACTGGTATGACCCCCAGGGGGACCTGGACCAGCGTGACCCCTAGGAGGCCAGCGAAGGGCCCAGCAGGAGGGCCTGAGCAGCTCCAGCTGGCAGTCCCTCCTCCGGGGCTGCAGGAAGCGCTATTTATAGTTCCCCCTGGGCCCCGCTCCCTCTCCCGGGGAGGCTACCGAGTTCCCCCTCTTCCTGACCACAGGCGGGCTGGTGCCCCTCAGAGCACCCCTGTACCTGCTGAGACCCCCACAGCCTTGTACTCCTGCCAGCACCACCCTGGCCGCACCCCGATCATTCCTAACCGCCCCCCCCCACACGCCCTCTCAAGGCCACCTGTGCCTACCCCGCCTGCTGCTCCTTGCCCCGGGGTCCATCAGCCGGCTGCCTCCTTCCCAGCCTCTGTCCATCCTGCAGTCCAACTGGCCCAGGTTCCACCCCCAGCAGCGTGGAGTCCACAGCCCGCCCCCTGCCTCTGCAGAGGGGAGTGTGCCCTGGGGCCCCGCCCCTGCAGCCCCGCCCCCCGCGGCTGCCTTCCCCAGATCAGCACCAGGGCACCCACTCCAGTGGCCACTCGGCCAGCTCTGCCTCTTTCCCCCTGAGCCGTCCACACCCCGTTCTGCCCTGTTCAGCGGGAGCTGTCTGCCCAGCCCCAGTCTGCCCGCCCTCAGCCAGCCGTCCACACCACCCAGGCCAGTCCCTCTCGGGCCCAGCAATGGAGACCGGAGTGTGAGATAAGCCCCACCGGCGTGGCTCAGTGGCTGAGGGTCCACCCACGAACCAGGAGATCACGGTGTGATTCCCGGTCAGGGCACAGGCCCAGGTTGCGGGCTCGATCCCCAGTGGGGGGCGCGCAGGAGGCAGCAGATCAATGGGTTCTCTCCCATCATTGATGTTTCTCTCTCTCCCTTCCTCTCTGAAACCAATAAAAAAATATATTTTTTAAAAAGAGTGTGAAATAGGGTAAAACCTACTCCTTCCACGCCAAGGGGCCAGCGTGGGGAGCAGGGAGTGGGCAGGGGCAGCAGAGCCCGGGTGGCAGCTCCGTGTGTCCCTGCCTGGGTGCCCCACAGTGAAACCCGGTGTGACTCCGGCCGGCCCGCCCCCGTCGGTCACCGGGTGCTCCTGCAGGCTGGAGCCCTCCGTCCACCCGTCACCCAGTGTCAGGGAGCTTGGCGGCGTCACCGTCGGGAAGGACGGCCGAGGAAACAGGCTCAGGGCTTCTGCGAGGAGGGGGCGGGGCCGCCTGGGGGTCTGGTCGCAGTGGATGGTCTCGGAGGCAGTGGTGAGAGTGACCGCAGGGGTGTCCAGAAGCTCCGGGGCCGTGGGGCACCCACACGTAACAAGCTTGCAGGTGGCAGTGACCTCTCTGGCTGAGTCCGAGCCGTCGGGCACACGGGGTCTGCGGGGCCCCAGGTGGGCAAGACTCTACTCGGCCGCTACCCGCTGTGCCGTCCAGACACAAGTGCCTGAGGTGCTCAGGTGTGAGGTGGCCCACATGGCGGAGGCCCCACATGGCGAGTCCGACGTCCCAGGCCCCGGACGGAGTGTGCTGTCCGGCTCCGCTGCGGCCCCTCCCCCAGGCTCAGCGGCCCATGCGGGCCAGGATGCGGGCGTTGGCGGCAGCCTGCTCCCGCAGGGCTCGGGCCCGGGCCTGCGCCAGGAGGATCTGCTGGAGGCCCAGGGGCACGTCCAGCGAGAGGGTGATGCGGGGGCCGGGGCGGGGGCCGGGGCTGGCTGGGGGGCTCTTCCCCGGGGGGCTCTCCGAGGCCGCAGGGCGGGGAGTGGCCTGGGGAGAGTGCTGAGGCGGGAGCTGCGGGGCTGGGACAGGGGTCCCTGAGGCCAGCGGGACGCTGCCCAACGCCAGGACCAGCAGCACCAGGGCCCACCCGGGCATCGCGAAGTCAGGCTGTGAGGAGAGAAGAGGCTCAGGGCAGAGGCTGGGGGTGGGGGGGAGACAGGGAGAGGGGGGACCCAGACCCTGAGACAGACTGAGGTCAGGCCAGGGACAGAGATAGACAGACACAGATGAAGGGACAATGAGAGAGTCAGGGAGAGACAGGGAAGGGGCCAGAGACAGAGGGTGAGGAAGAGAGCGAGCGACACAGATAGATAAAGAGACAGGGAAGTCGGCCCGGGGCCCGGCCTGGGTGGCTCAGTGGTTGAGCATCGGCCTATGAGCCAGGAGGTCAGGGTTCGATTCCCGGTCGGGCACAGGCCTGGGTGGTGGGTTCGATCCTCAGTGTGGGGCGTGCAGGAGGCAGCCGATCCACGATTCTCTCTCATCACTGATGTTTCTATCTCTCTCTTCCTCTCCCTTCCTCTCTGAAATCAATACAAATATTTAAAAAGAAACCTTAAAAAAGAGAGAGACAGAGAAATCCAGAGATGGAGAGTGAGTACATACAGTTATACAGAGGGAGAGAGAAAAGAGATGAGGGGAGGGAGGAGATGGGACGGGTGAGGGAAGGCAGGGCAGCGCTGCGGCAGCAGGAGCAGGACCCCGGAGGGCGGGGCACGGGCAGCCTGCGGTCTAAGCGAGGGCCCCGCAGCAGGTCCAGGGCAAGGGGCGGGGGTGGGGGACCCCAGAGCCTCCTCGGGTCCAGAGACCTCCACTCGCCCAGACCCAGGTCCACTCAACCCCGAGGCCCTGCCGGTCCGTCCGACCCCGTCCTACCAGGAGCAGCAGCCTCCTCCGGGAGGGCCGGGGCACCGGGGCTGCCAAGGGGGCCAGGCGACTGCGCGGCGGCCTCAGCCGCTGCCCCCTCAGGGCCCATTTATCTCCCTCCGCACCCTGGGTGGGGGCCGGGGGCCGCTGCTGCACGAGGCAGCCCCACCTATGACTCAGCCCTCGGGGGGCAGTGAGGACATACCCCCAGCTGCTCTTTGGGGGACAAGTTGAAGACCGAGGGTCACAGGACAGTGACCAGGGCCGGACAGAGGGGCCCTGCGCCAGGCAGGGCAGTCCTGACCCCCCGGGGAGCTGCCTCCCGACACCCCCTCTCCCCAGAGTCACACAGGCGCCTTTCACAGCAGCAGCTTTAATGCCCCCGAATCAGCACCATGTCACCAGCTCGGGGCAGGGGCGGGTCCGCCGGAGTCACATCCGCTCACTGCCCACGGCCACCCCCACACTGAGCCATCGGCCAGGGCGGCCGGCGCCACAATGGGGGCCTGTCCACAGGGGATGGCCAGACCCACGGGAAGTCACTGAGATGACGGACACGTGCACGCTCCCTGCACACGAGCCGCTAGCACCAGGAAAGCCACGGGGGCCACGGAGACGCGGCCGACAGGGGCCGCTGAACTTCAGCCGCATGTGGGGCTCAGCGCTGGAGAGCACCTGGGGGCGGGGGGGGGGGTGCTGTCTTCAGCCACCTGCCCTCACCCTCACCCTCACCCTCACCCTCACCCACACCCACGCCCACACCCACACCCACACGTGGGCCCCAGCAGCACTGGGGGAGGGAGCTGGGCACGGGCTGGGGCTCTGGCTCGGGGAGGGGTCCTTACCAGCTCTTTAAGGAGTGCGAGGGGCCTACTGGGGGCCCCAGAGAGAGGCTCCCTCTCTAGTGACTTGGTCGGGGTCTGACCCGTCCCCAGGGGCCAGACCTGCACAGCTCAGTCCCGGGCCCCGTGTGTGTGTGGGGGGGGCCGTACCTGCTCCCTGGCTCGGGGCCCCGGGGGGCAGGCAGTGGCGCTCACAGGCCTCCCGGGTCTCAAAGCGGTTGGCGTTCCCTCCGCAGCCGCCGTAGACGAAGGGGTGGCAGGCCCGCGTGCCCCCCGCCGCCCGGTGGTACCAGCGCAAGGTGTAGGCAGAGCAGGAGCCCTCGTCCAGCGGGAGCGAGCAGGGGTCTGGGGTCAAGGGCGTCAGGAGGTCAGCGGGGTGGGGGGGGTCAGCTGAGAGGGACCCTGACCCTGAGCCCTCGCGCCAGCCCTGCTCTCACCGCCGTCGCCGTCCCAGGGAGCCTGGGGGTCCTGGGCGTCCTCCACGGGGTACTCGTACTCGTACTCGTCGTCCTCGGGGGGCACACGGTCTGCGGGGAGGGGGTGGCCGTGGGGGCCGCTGTGGAGCCAGGATCACGCTGCCCAGCCCCAGCCACGCCTCCCCCGTGTGTGCGCATGTGCACGCGTGTGCCCTGCTGTGTCCGTGCCCCCCCGCCACGCCCACGGGTGCGCAGCCCTCACCTTCCTCCTCCGCGTGAGAGACCTGCAGCACAGGGAGGCGCTGGCGGCTGCTGGTGTCCGCGTAACTAGGCAGGGGGCCTGAGCAGGGAGGGCGCAGGGTGAGCAGGGAGGGGGGTGCAGGGTGAGCAGGGAGAGGGCGCAGGGTGAGCAGGAAGAGGGGTGCAGGGTGAGCAGGGAGGGCGCAGGGTGAGCAGGGAGAGGGGGTGCAGGGTGAGCAGGGAGAAGGCGCAGGGTGAGCAGGGAGGGCGCAGGGTGAGTAGGGAGAAGGCGCAGGGTGAGCAGGGAGGGCGCAGGGTGAGCAGGGAGGGGGGTGCAGGGTGAGCAGGGAGGGGGTACAGGGTGAGCAGGGAGAGGGGGCGCAGGACCAGGGCACCACTGTGCCACCCAGCCCCACCCCTGCTAAGAGGGCCAGGTGATGGGCAGGAGGCCTGGGGGGAGGGAAGTTCTGGGGCAGAAAATGCCAGGAAACTACTCACGGGATCCAGATGCGAGGAACTGGCCCTGGCAGGCTGGAGCGGGCGGGCAGGAGGCACAATGAGAGGGAGCGGGGTGGGGGGAGGCACACAGGCAGGGACGGAGAGGAGGGACCAGAGAGCACAGGGGGAGACAGAGCGGGGCCCGAGGAAGGATGGAGAGACGTTGGGAACAAAGGGCGAGAGAGAGGAGACAGTGCCGGTCAGAAAGAGGCCGGTGTGAGACAGCGGGTGGGGGGCAGGTGCCCCGGGGCCAGAGCCCCCCCACGTCAGGCCCCGGGGCCAGCTCGGCCCCCCACCACCACCACACACACGCCACACAGGGCCTCAGGGACCACAGTCCACCCACTCCTCCTGGGTCTCCGCGGGGAAGTCCTGGTCCCCCCCCCATCCCCACCCCCTCCTTGACTCCTGCCCCCCCGAATGCTCTCGGCACCGCCTGGCCCTGCCGGGGTGCTGGGGTGGGGCCCACTCACCGCAGTGCTGACTCATCTCCTGACGCACAAAGCCCCGAATGTCGTCCTCCTGGGAGCACCAGGCACACGAGGCAGGGAGCGCGGAGGGACAGAGTCAAGCTGGGGCCCGGGGCCCGGGGCCCGGGGTCAGGGGTCAGGGGTCAGGATGTTGGTCCGGGGGCAGGGCCCAGCCCACCCGGCCACACTCACTGTCAGCGCGGCTTCTCCCTTCTCGCCTCGGGGGCCAGCAGGTCCAGGCCGCCCCTACGTGCAACGGGGGACCAGGCTGTGACCTCTGACCTCAGGGACACCAGAGGTCACCCCAATCCCTGACCCCAAGCCCAGGAATCCCCACTCACCTGCTCCCCCCTCTCTCCGGGGGCCCCAGGGGCGCCAGGGGCACCCACCACACTCTCTCCACGGGGACCTCGCTCACCCTGTCGGACACAAGGGCCAAGTGAGCGGGGCCAGAGGTCTGGGGTCAGAAGTAGGGCATTTGGGGATCACAGGGTCAGAGGTTAGCATCCGAGGTCAGTGAGGCTGAGAGAGTCAGGCAGGTTCAGGGGTCAAGTGCCAGGGTCAGGGCCCCTCACCTTCTGGCCCTGGAGTCCTTCTGAGCCTTTGGGGCCCACACTGCCGGGCGGCCCGGGGGGGCCACTAGCACCGTCACTGCCCCTGGGCCCTGGGAGGCCCCCAATTCCTGGGAAGCCCTGGGGAGAAACAGGTCAGGGTCAGTGCTCGGAGCCCCGAAGATGGGCCCCGTCCGGAGAGCCCCAGCCCCCCCCGGCCTTGGCCTCGACTTACCCGCTCCCCTTTCTCGCCCTGGTCACCCTTGGGCCCCGACTGCCCGTCAAAGCCTCGGTCGCCCTGGCAACGGAAGGAAGCATGAGAGACCCTCCGCCTCGGCCTCCAACGGCCACCCTTCCGCAGCCCAAGCACCGAGGACCCTCTGAGCCTGGACCGGCAGCCACTGTGCTCCCGGGACCCGCCCCCTCTGTAGCCGCCGCCCTGACTCTCCCTCCCTCCCACACTGACCCTGGGCCCTGCTCCCCCACCCCCTAACCCTCAGCCCTGATCGCAGGAACCTGCCCACCTCCATCCCTCCGTCCCACACCCCACCCCGAAGCCTCAAGACCAGCCAGTGTCCCAGCCCCACAGCTTCCCGCTCCTGAGCCCCGGGCCCGTCGCAGCCTCCCTGACCCCCCCACGCCCCGGTGCCCACTGGGGAGAGGGCCGTACCTTGGGGCCGATCAGGCCCTCCTTGCCAGGGGCCCCCACCTGGCCCGGCTCCCCCGGCTCCCCCTGGGGAGAGAAGACGTGAGCGGTGAGCGAGGCCCTGGCCCCCCGCCCTCCCCCCGTCCTGGGTGCCCCCGCACTCACCATGTCTCCCTTGTGTCCTGCCAGCCCGTGTCGGCCCGGGGGCCCGGCCTCTCCCTACGGGTCAGTGGAGGGTCAGCCGAGGCCTCGGGCCCTGCCGCCGCCCACGCCCCCTCCCCTCTGTACCTTATCGCCCTTCTCTCCATCCAGGCCACAGGCGCCCTTCACCCCACGCTCGCCCTGCGGGGAAAAGAGGTGGGAAGGGACCCCGAGCCCTGAAACCACTTCCGAACCGGCCTGACTTACCAGCCCACCGTCAACCTGGACACCGCAACCTCTGACCCCGACCCCTGACCCGACCCCAGACACCGCCCTCCAACATCAGGCCTCCCGACCAGGAAAAAACCCAGTCCCTTCCCACCTTGAGGCCCCGGGGACCCACAAAGCCCATCTCTCCTTTTTCTCCACGGACGCCGGGGGCTCCGTCTTTTCCTGGGGATCCCTGGGGAGAGGGCAACACGAAGTCGGGGGGTCAGGGAGGGTCAGAGGGAGTCGTCCGGATATAACACAGGGGACACCGTGGGGGTGAGGCACCCCCGGGGGGCAGAGTCCCTGGGAGGGCAGGGTATTCCAGGGGGACAGGGGTCACCACGTGGGTGGACCATCCTAGGGGTCACTGTGAGGTGGGGGCCGCGGGCAACTTGACACCATAGAGTACGGGGTCGTCATAGGGTCAAAGGTCGCCACACGAGCAGGGGGCACCTTACCGGGTCTCCAGGAACCCCCGCAGCACCGGGCTCCCCCTGCGGGAAACAGGG